GGGCTAGGGAAGGGGGTGACTATTTAGAAAGAGGGTGGAAGACAGTCAGCTTTGGGATGCCGGAGTGGAAGCTAGGCGGTGTACAGCTCGGGTATGGCTACCTGGATTGGAGCTCCAAAACCCAGCAGCAGTTCTCAGCTGCTCTTTTTACCTTCAGGAACTTGAGGCAAACTTCCTGAAAACCAGGAGCAGAGACTCAGGTGTATCTCCAAGGGAGAAGCAGTCTTCTCCTTCCAGTTAAAATCCACTTCTTCAAGCAAAAGTCACTGCACCACAAATTGGTTCTAACAGAAGTTCCCTCACCTTGCAAGCTTGTCCAGAACAGGTTGTTAATGCACGTCTCTCAGTTGTGTGTTTTGGGTTGTCTGGCCCATCTAGCAATTTTTCAGCTACTGCAGCAATGACCAAGAGCACAGCAACCTAGATAAAAAGGAGAGACATGATTGGTGTGCATTTCTCACAGGGAGATGCCATATATATCTGAGGGCTCCCTTGACATGTAGATAATGGAAGAGGGAAAACTTCTGGTTGTCTGTACAGAGAGTGAAAATACACGGAAGTATTTTTCTGCATATTGCTTTTGCATGCACACCAGTTCAGCTAAAGCAAGGATAGGTAGAGCAGCGTTTTGCAGCTGGCACCTTCCACGTTTCTGGGCTTTAGCATGCAAGACAGCTCTGCAGATTCAGGCAATGGGCACCGTGCCTGTGCAGCACACAGCACACACCAAACCTACCCCATGTGCGACCTGGAGCACCAGTGTCCTTGCAGCTCAGAGGGCAGGACTGCGAGGGAGGGAGGATCGCTGCCATTCGCCGGGCGCTGATGTGTGTGCTCACACTGTCATGAAAATGAGGTCAGCGAAGGTCATTCAGTTCAACGGTATAAATCAAGGAGGAAAGTGGAGTGGAAGCCTGTGAATTCTCGGGAGATCTCACCGGTGGGAGGTGGTCAGGGGGAGTAGAGGAGCAGCTAATGAGGCCTCAAATGCCACACAGGGGCGAAGCAGAAAATAACGGAGGATGAAAGCAGCCAAATGGCAGCAGCCAAAACAGAAGGCAGGAAAGCCCAGCCTCGGGTCCTTTATCCTGCACTGTAACCAGTGCTTGGTGTTAACTTGCAGGATTACTCTGCCAGAGCAGGCAGAAAGGCTCCACACCCTCCACTCCCAACCCGCTGACAGGAAACCTTTCACTGGAAACTTGCTTGCGTTTGGTGCAAAATGTCTCACTTCTGTTAGCAATTTGTTCCCCATCACAGGCATTCCTGGGAGAAGTTTGGTGGGGGAAGGAAAAGGGCCAGGAGTGCGGGGGCTTCCACCTGGCGACCTGGTTAACAACACAGCGGAGCAGACAGCCGGCCTTTCACCACCTCCCTCCTCCATGTCCCTCATCCCACTTTTCACCACCTCCCCCCCCCACGTCTCTTTTTTCTCCTCCCTTTTGTCCAGCCTTCTCTTTCCTCCCCAATTTCTCTGTATCCCTTCTCCCGTTCTCCTCTTCTTTCATCCTTTCCTTTTTCTCTGTCTCCCTGCACGTTTGGACTTATCTCCTGCCCACAGGTCTCCTAAACCCACTACCCATGCCCCACTGCACTCTGAGGTTACAGTGGAGCTTTGCTTTCTCCTTGGGCCGGGTCGGAGGCTCCAAAGTGTTTTTGTGATCTGTTCTCCCCCAGAGCTCTGGACAGAACTCTCCCTCTTCCCTTCCCCCTCGCTTTCTCTCCCTCACATAATATTTTCCATATGAAGAAGCCTTCCTGAAGCCGCACACTGCCCTCTCAGTGAGTCTTAGGCGGGTTAGAGGAGACCCTGGGAGCCTTTAATCCTCTCTCTCTCTCTTGCTTTCATCCTCAGCCACAGCTGGACGCCCCATTGATGTGGAACAGACCAAACACCAGGCCTCTCGCTAAGCTGCTGCTGTGGGGCCTCTTCTCCTTCAGAGCTGCACTGAGCCCACGTCCTGCACCCTGCAGCCCCAGCACACACAGCCATCCTGGCTCTGCCTGCTTCCTCCCCAGCCAGGCTCTGGCTATCGCTGCTGCTTCTGTTTCCCTGGGTCACCCCCTAGCAGCCTATCTTCTCCCTTATCCCAGCAGCCTCTTTTCCCAGAATTATTCAACATCAATCCCTGCTGCCTTGCATCCCTGCAGAGCATCAGGCTCAGACAAGGATCGAGGATGTGTTTGTGTTTCCCTGCTGGTGATGTGTCCCCAGAAAGAGCCGGGCAGGTCTCACAGAAATGGCCCTGGGACTGCAGCCTGCTTACAGTTTTAGGAGGCTCCTTGGCTATCCTCTTGTGATCTCTTTGATCCTTGTGAGCCTCTCCTAACTGCGATTCCATAGTTCCATAGCTGCCCGGACTCTCTTTGTGCACAAGCACCTGCCCGCTGCCAGCGCTGTGCCAGCCCTGCACAGACCTCTCGCTGAGCGGTGCAGTTCGTTCCCATTCCGCTCCCGGCGGCACAGACCGGCTGCGGGCCGGCAGCTCGGCTCGGGGCAGCGCCCGGAGCCCCGTGCCCCATTCCTAATCGCCCTCTGCCCTCTAGCGGCCCCACCGCCACTGCTGCATCTTCGGGGCTGCCGTGGGTTTCGTCGCGAAGGGAGCGAGAGAGCAGGAAAGCAGAGTTTGTGCGGAAGGCAACAAGTACGAGGCTGCGTCCTTGATTGGATGCGAAAGCTCTGTAGGAACTTCAGGGGGCCCCGGGGATGCCAGGCGGATTGGCAGAGAAGAGGCGGATTGATGGGAGAATTCAGAGAACAAAAATGATCCAAGCTGTCGGAAACACGACTCAGGAGTGAAAATTAAAGGGATTGGGGATGGTTAGTGCAGTGACAGACTGAGGGGAGGCAAGGCAGGAGTCCTCGCACACAGAGCAAAAGAAAGGGAATCATCTGTTCCCTGTGTTCTCTGCAGATACAAAAGGCAGAGAGGCACTCAAATAGCAGGGAGCTTTAAGAAAAGCTTTCAAATCAGGACGGTGCAGCACTGCAAAAAGTCACCAGAAGAATGCTGCAACCTCAACTTGTTAAACTGAAATGACACAGGAGGAGTTGATCCTATTGCGTGTGTCACTGGGGTAGGCTAAGTGACCTCCAGAGATTGCATTCACCTCATTTACTGCAATGCTATAATTAAAATCCACATTGATCCTCTGACAGAGATGCAGCAAGGGGACCGACTTCAATACTTCCCAGCTGTCCCTGGAATCCACTGAGTCTTACACAGATGCCTCTTCCTGACCTGTCCTGCTCCAGAGAGCTCCTCTGCTCCAGCACTCAGCCTGCACCAGGCACAGCAAACACAGATGTGGTGCCTCCTCCTTTCCCGCAGCACTGCAGCACAGTTCTCTGCTCAGTTTGTTGGCAACCAGTTGTAGAAACTGAAGTAATTGCAGACTCTTGGGATTTGCTCATAAGAGAACCACTGCGTTCCCCCTTCTTGTTATTCAGCATCAAGTGCCTGATGAGAGAGGGATTTGGGGAAAAGACAACGTGAAGATATCTTAGCACAAAATGATTAGCTGGAATGTATTGTTAATAAGCTGCTTATTCATATAATTGGAAATTATTTGCAGCCGGGGTGTCAGAACAGTCTTTCTCACTGCTCTGATGGAGCAAAGCAGGTAGTCACTGGCCCAGGGGAGACTGCAGAGCACATCTGCTGGCAGCAGGAAGGCAGAGGAATTTACTGCCGCTTTGCTTCTTTATTGTTGCTGTCTTGAAGGGCAGAGAAAGGCACAGCGATTTCGAGGGGAGCTCCCTGGGTTCTGTCTGATGCCTCTGTGTCTTCTGAACTGGCCAAATTCTGTTGACATGGACGATTTAATCACTCATGCATGAATTTGGTTGTTCAGCTGTAGAGAGGGATTTCTACACTACGCCAAGCTGCAGCCACGAAGCTCAGCCACTTTCTCCAGCAGTGCCAGTGTGGGACAGAAGGGTGCAGATACCTGCTGTTCTGATCTTTCTTCAGCACTGCCTTTCCTCTTGGCTCCAGAACAGGCACAGTCATGATTCCTCCTGCTTCTGCTCTTGTGTTTTTCAGGCAAGGGGTACAGCAGTGCAAGAGGCAAGGGGATCTTGGGCACAGTGTTCCTTCTGCATTTGTCTGAGATCCTGTACAATGCATGGGAGTGCTGGTGTGTTCATCTTCAATTCCTGAATGGCACTGGGAATCAGAAGGACATGCACAGACAGGAGGCTGTGTTTAGCTGTCCATCTGCACAGTCAGCTAGGAGTCAGCCACGTCACAAGCTGCTCTACCTCTCATTTCAATATTTCTATTGTTTCTACTCTATTTAAAATCACTTCAGCTGTGCCTATAGAGACATCAGTGCCAACACCACCTCAGGAGCTGCATACTTGCCTGTCCAGACAGTTTCACTTTGTTTCGTGTCACCAAAGAAGTTCAATCCTTACTGAATGTATTTTACTTGCAGGTGAATGGCAAACAACCTTCTATTCTCCTTTTTTAAAGACTCGCATTAACTCCAATGAAACAACTGTCAGTAAGAAGCAGAAATAAAACAGGTGAGCCACCAGGTAAACAGGGCAGTGGGGGCCAGCTGGAGCACCAAGGGTAGAAAACAGCAGGTCCTGCCAGGCACTATCTGCTTCTTCCCCAAGGGACAAAAGAATCCACTTTGTTTACCAGGAAGGGAGGAAGAGGGAAACATTATCTGTTGTAAAACATGAGAAAATCTTTCACAAAAAAAGTGACTTCAAAGTTGTGACATTATGCCACAAAGAAAAGTATTAAGACTACTGAGTGGTAAGCAGAGGGAAGGGAAGGGAAAGGAATCATTATTTGACATGTAAGAAGAGAAAGGCTTATAAGGCTGCACATGCAGTTCAGCCCTCACTGCCACCATGGCTTGAAGGGGACATTCTGGCCATGGCTGGGCCAAAGCCAAGGTCGTGCTTCATCTCCTATGCCTTGGAACATTCAAAAGAGAGCTCCATTGGCACCAGTGTGAGAGCAGAGGGGGGACAACAGCTGAGCGAGCACAACAAAGAGCCTCTCCTTTCAATACGGGCTGATCTCTGCCCACAGCCACTTCCCCAAATGAACCCTGAAATAATCTTGGTATCAGTTTCATTGCAAAATGTGGTGAAAGATTTCTGAGGGAAGACAAGACGTCAGGACTTCCTCCAGCAGTGTCAGTGGGAGGACGGAAGGCTCACAGGGCAGACGCTTTGGAACGGGCAGGTGGGGAGCCCCCAGCAATGCCCCTGCCCCGCGCCTGAGGACGGCATGGAGCTGAGAGTTCTCATTCTGTTGCTGCTCTGCTGCCCAGGTAAGAGGAGGGCTGGGCACGTTAGAGGCATCCCGTGGGACGCGCTTCCCAGTCCTGCAGTGCTGAGGAAGGGCAGGGGAGGGCAGTGCAGGGCAGGGGCAGCTCTCAACATCCCGCACCAGCTGCCTAATGCTCCCAGCTGAAGCCATTCTGTGGGTGCAGAGCTGTAGCTTCACCAGGCCCCACACTTGCAGGTCTCCCAGCCCAAACACCTGAAGCTGAGATTAGCCAACGGGAAGGAAGCACGTTCTCTATCGAGTGCCCTTACACAACACAGCCTGACAACAAGCAACTGAAAGCCTGGTGCCGCCTGAGGAATGCACGATGCGAGCTTGTAGTGCTGACACTTGCCTCAATGCAGTACAGATACTCAGACAGGGCCAGGCAGGGCCACATTACAATACAGGATGGCAACAGGACCGTGTCCATCACCATGTCTGAGCTCCAGGTAGAGGACTCAGGCATATATTCCTGTGTGTACAGCAGCAACTATGTTCTACTGAAGACCATCTCGCTGAATGTTTACAAGGGTGAGTACTGTTTCTTTCCCCACACAAACTCACATCCTTCAGAGGACAACAGTGCTGCTGCCCCGCTCCATCCTCCTGCCTTCCCTCGACCCCCTCAGCCCCCAGCCTCCACCCTCACCCACCGCCTGCCCCATTCACAGCGCCTGCTGTCAAGGAGCCCCACAGAGCCACAGCCCTGGGGGCACCCAGCTCTGCCCTGCCCACAGCCCCCCACCCCGGCTATGGCTGTCCCAGCCCAGCTGCCAGCTCGGGCCGGGAGCAGGATGCCCTCGTGCCCAGCACTCGTGCTCAGCCCCCAATGTGCTCTTTGCAGAGTTACACAGGCAGGAGCTGGACGGTCTGTCCGTGCAGTGCCCATACGGGGCCCTGGGCCACAGCGAGGGAAGAAAAGCCTGGTGCCAACAACGAGGTGAGGCTGAGTGCTCCCTCATAGTGAGCACATGTTACTCTCACACGTGGGGCAGCAGCGGAAGAGTCTGGAACAGAAGCAGCTCAATCCAGGATGATGCCCAGAGAGGGATTGTCACCATCACCATGGACAAGCTGCAGGCACAGGACTCTGGTGTGTACTGGTGTGCGCTCTACAACCCCTTTCAACGCCCTGCATTCACCCGGATAATGGAGGTCAGGCTCTTTGTGGACAAGAGTGAGTACCTGCTGGCAGATTCTGAGCTCACCTCCCTGGCTCATCTCCCTTCTCCCCTGTGCCCACCAAGGAGCCCAGTGCCATCCATGTGCACCACAGACCCACATCACTCCCTGCAGACTCAACACTGGGGCTCCCAAAACCACTGAGAACTACTGACTTGTGTGAAAACATGGCTGGTTGTAGACTCCAGATTCACTTTCCTACTCCCCCTCTACTTTTTGTGCTGTCCAAATTAGTGCATCTTCCAGTGGGGTACATTAGGATGATTTTCTATGCCCAAGCTCTACGTGATTTTACTTTCTCACAGACATTTTGTTACAGAACAGCAGCAGGAATCTGACCTTACACAGATGTACTGTGTTGCTTCTCTTGTATTTTAGAGAAGTTTCAGTCATATTCAGAGGTGTTCCTACCACCCATGCTCATGATACTACTTCTGTTCCTTTATAGCAACTCATCCCTTGGTTTTCAAAGGCTATTAAGACTTTCACATTTGGTTGCAACACAGATTTAGAGCCATATTTTACAGATGTTTTTATCTCTTTCAGCATTCTCTTAATAAGTGATAATATTTAGGCACTTGATTCTGGCAAACCAACGCCATGCTGTGCTCTGTCAGGAATCTGGCAGAGCATCACTGCAGGAATATAGCAACCCAGATGCCCAGAGGGGACAGCTCAGCACTTCCAACTGCACTTACAGTACTTCTGCTGCACACTGTGTCGGCATGGGAAGCAGGGTCCTTCCCTCTCCCTTCTACCTTTTCATCCTTACACTGCTTTGCTTGCTCACAGCAGGTCCTGATGACACAAGTTACACCCTGGGCACTTCGTGTTGGTGCACACAGATTTATGTCCGTGGTAGCAATGGCAGGGAAGTTTACACGGTAATGGCAGAACAGCCCAGTAATTATTCTCCTATTCATGTTTGTGATTGCAGTACCAGCTGCAACGACTTTGTCAGTTACTACAAGCTCAAGTCAGAAAAACTCTTCTGGCAACAGCACACAGCCACGGTAAGGCTTAAAGAAACTTGCAGAGTTTGTGCACAGACAAGTGTCTCGCTCCAATTTATAGGAGGGAGATGAGGTTCTTTTAAGTCTGTACACCCGGCGTGAGATTAAGAAACAACGGTTCATGTCAGTCCAACCAGTTTATTACAAATCCTAATCAGGGAGACGGGGAAGGGAAGGAGGGCGATAGAAAAGATGGGAAAGAAGCAAGAATTGTTTGAAGGTCCGAGGCAGAAGCAGCGGGGTGGGGGGGGGAGGGAAGAGAAGGGAGCAGCAGCGCGGCCGGTCTTGGGCAGCAAGCAGGCAGCAGGAGGCGGCCGCGGAGCCAATGCGGGAGGAAGCAGCAGCGCTCAGGCAGCAGCCCAGGAGTTTGTCAGCATGCAGGAATTCCGTAGTGTGAGGAATCTGATGTCAGACCCCTCTTCTTCTACTTCACCTTGCAGGCATCGCTTCCTGAGGAATCTGTCAGAAATCCTCTGTTCTTCTTCATGAGGAATCTGTTGTCAGAAAACCTGTCCTCATGGTTTTCGGTTCCTCTTTTATCCTTCTTGTTCTCCTGCCTACGTGATGGGCCTTGAGCAAGAGTCGTTGAGTGCCTCCTGAGATGGCCATCATCCTGAGACAAGCCCACACAAAAGAGCACTTCACAGCTATTTAGCTGCCGCTCATCTCTCTCTCCTTGCCCCTGGCCTTGTCCATCCGTGTCCCCGCAGACCCAGGAGTTCACAACCCTTGTGGGGGTTATGCAGGGCACTGGTGAATAGTTAACAGCAAAATACCCCTTAGCTGCTCTTTCTTCCTTCTATTTACTGTTGTTGTTGTTTTGGTTTTTTTAATGTAAAGGATTTTCTTCCCCTTTGGACTTCTTGTCATGAACACTGCAGCAGCACTTAAGAGCACCAATATACATCCCAGTGTGTCAGGTGCAGGAAAACTCAAGAGGAAGCAGTACCTGCTCCTGAGAGCCTAGAATTATGCTCTGAACTTTGAATAGTGTTTTGTTTTAAAAGCATGAAGACTAGAATTACAGAATGGCTTAGGTTGGAAAGGACCTTAAAGATCAGCTAGTTCCACCCCCCTCCTTCCAAGTGTATAAAAGCTACTCCTGCCCCCTTTCTGGTAATGGGCTTTGCTAGCTATTGGTAACTAGCACTGATAACTTCTTTGCTCTCCCTGCAAAGGAACACCATCATAATCTCTGTGGCTCTGTGCATCCTGCTCATCCTGGCATTGGCCATCATAACAAGACTGGGCATCAGGCAGCGCAAGAAGCAGAAGACAGGAGGTATGTGGAAATTGGTGATTTCTGTTCTCTGATTCTAGATGGGTCCTTCTCTAACCATCGTTTTTCCTCTTCAAGCAAGATTATTCCCAATTCACAGTACTCTGGGGAAGATAACATAGGTTCAGGCTGGGAAGCCTCAAAGGCAGGCTCCCTGCTGTGATCTCCCAGTAAATCAAACCCATGTTCCCTGCACAAAACACCTCCTACCATTTTAGAGAAGTAAACTGGGAGAAACACATTCCCCAGACTCAGGGTGGATGGGTCCCATTGGCACAACCATCACTTCCATCACTGGGCAACCCCAAAGCCTCCCCAAAACTCCTTGGAGCACAGCCAATGACCAGGCATTGTTATGGGCTTCTCTGCTTCTCAAAACTTTGACTCTGGCTCTTTCCAAAGGTAACAGACAAGCAGAGGACACGTATGACAAACCAGAGAGCCCAGCACAGGTAAGGAATATGACCATTTCCATTTGGTACCTGAATCCATCACCTGTGAGGAGCTGGCTGACCCACATGATGAAGATCATTTTTGGTTCTGAGTGTGAGGGGAAGTAATATTTAATATCACCACAGAAAGGAATGTGGGGGCAGGGGAAGGAAAATTCCACTGGAAAAAATAATGAACCCAAGGTGGGGAAAATTCTAGTAATCTCTGAGAAATGACTGAAAGACTAGAAAGCAAGGTTAGAAGATGAAACTGTAGCCTGTCTCAAGGAGAGGAGATTAAAGAAAGGGTTTTCTGTTACTTCTTCCTCTGCCATGACCAGAGGTGACTTTTCACACCACTTCTCCTGGAAGAATCTTGTTCCTTTGATAACAGCTGTGCCTTAGCACTGAATGATGCTGACTACTGTTTGCTCTTCCTTTTTATAGCTTGAGAGCACTGAAAGAATGGGAAGAACCACAGATGACAGCAGAGATCTAAATTACATTACTCTGGACTTTAAATCCCAGCTCAGCTCTGATGAACCTCTCTACTGCAATGTTGAACTGAGTCAGACTCCCAGGAAACCCACAGAGGAAAATGTGGAATATGCCATCATTGCACACAAGCAGTTACCTAAGAATGACAAAGGATGAAGCACAGAATTCTAAAGCAATCCAGAAATGGGAGAACTGCAATATAAAGTGGGAGTGGAGAACAGTACATGAACACTGGGGAAAGAATTAAGGTTTTGCTGCCACATGTACATTGCCTATGCATTTTAAGACCTCTTTCTTTCCTTTTAGAAATTTGTGATAAGTGTGCAGATCCTCTTCGGTCAGAGGTGCTTGGTAACTCTCAGGATCGACTGCATGTTTGCTTTTTTGATTCCATTAAAATGCAGCCTCTCTGGGAGAGGCAGGTGTGCAGGACCCTCCCCTTGCTGCCACTGGGTTTGTTTGTAGTGGGTGGCAGATATGAGCACTGGGTTCTAGGAATAAGCAGAACCAGCATCTGCCTGAAGGCAGGTGGCTTGAGTGTACTGCACCAAGCTGAAACAGTGCTCTGCGAGTTGTGAAGCAGAGGGTCCTGCTGTAAGAATCTGAGCACCAGGAGGTCTTCTAAGAACAAAACAGTGGTGCACATCACAGTGCATACAGTTTTTGATACTTTATGCAAATTCCTACGTTTATCAGCCTGCCTAGGTAAGAAATAAGATGGAAAGAGGCTTTCAAACTAAAGCTAAATGCCCACCCATTAATCAAGAAAAAGGGCACATGTGCTAGATATGGGTGTAGGAGGGAGAGAAGGTGAGGCACTACTGAGTGCAAGCACAGTTCCTTTAAAGACCTCCTAATCAGAGGCTTTCATTCTGTTCAAAAGCTTGTGGCTGGCTTGCTCTTACAGCTGTTCCTCAAGAAGACACAAACTGGCTGCTTGAACCAAAGCAGCATGGAACAGAGACAAACGAAAGAGCATGGAAAAGAGAAAACAAAAGATGAGCGTTTCTGGAGAAAGGAAGGAAGGGAGCACATGGCACCACGTCCAAGGAATGCACGGGGCACTGGGTGTTTTGAACAGCATTTGCCATCTGCCAACTGCACAAGCGAGCCCTGAGCCAGACAGGAGGAAAGTCCATACAGACAGCAGCACAGAGCAAAAAAACTGACAGAAGAAATTGACAGCAAGAAATTGGCAATCCTGCCCATGGCAGGGGGTTGCAATTAGATGATCTTTCAGGTCCCCTCCAACCCAAGCTGTTCTATGATTCTACCATAAGCTTAGCAAAGTTTCAGGAAGTACTGCAGAGACACCAGAGGAAGAAGTATGAGCACAAGAGGGCTGTTTTCAACAGCAGGTGATACAAGAGAAAGGAAATGCTGGTAATTCAAGAGTAGATTACTTACAGATATAAATGTCCAAGTAAATTGCATACATAATACATTTATAAATCCCTGGTGCAGCTCTGATGCAGGCTTCCAAGAGTTGCCAAAGAACACTGGACTGGCAGGGACCTGACCAGCCCCCTGCTGTCCTGAATAACCCCACCATAAACCAGGACACGTACTCCCAATGGACTTGCTCTCTAGGCTCCCATCACACACCTCTGAATCAACCATTAGCCAGACTGAGATGCAGCTCTGTGTCCCTACAGCACTGTGCTCTACTCACCCTGGCACCAAATAAAAGCCCTGGCACTTCCTCAGCTGCACCAAGCTCTGCAGACAGGTGGCAGATCAAAGAGGCCTGGACCACCTGTTATTCACAGGCCTGTCTTGCTATGGTTGCAGCAGAGATGCAGGTTTGTTCTTTGAGACTATCAGAGTTGACCCATTTAACTTGAAATGAAAGGAAGAAAATGGAAAAAATCTGGAAAAGGACCCCAGGCTACGACTCCCCTAACTATTCATACAGTCAGTTACACTGACTGTAGTATTCTACTTACAGTAGAATAGTAATGGTAAAAGATAATAAAATGCAAGAAATACATTTTCAGGATCACAGTTGCTTCTCATGAAAGAGAATCCAGGCTAGAGCTTTTTGGTGCAAGAAATAAAAAAATGGAAGATAGAAAGACCCACAGAGAACTTCTAGGTACCATCTTTTTAAACACTGATTAAAGAAAACAAGGCACATTTACTAACAGACAGATCTGCAGATTTATCTGCCTGTTTCTGTAAGATAAGCAAGGTTTTATCAGCATTTGAATGGAAGATCTCCAAGTAAGCGAATCCAACAAATTAACAAGGGCAGCCCATTAGTTTGCTAACAATACCAGAGGCCACCACATGATGCTCTCTTTCAGGCTGTCTAGACTAAATTGTGGCTGTGAGCAGGCAAAGCTGATGCCTGAATTTTCAGCCAGTGAGAGAAAGGCCCATCCGTGGTGAATTGCTCAACGTGCGGGACAAAAAAGATGCCAAGTTCCTGTGCTCATTCCTTCCGGCAGAGCTAGGAGGAGAGAAAAGCAAACTGCTCTTGGGCAACAGCCCTTTTCACTTCTGTCTGGACTCCTCTCTTTCCCCTTCTCTGCTGGACAGACATGGAGAAACTCATGCACCTCATCTTGGTCTTCTTCTCAGGTAAGAAAGCATACATGGCCTTGGGTGATGATAACAGGTAGGGTAAAGAACTGATGCAAGAACTCTATCTTAAGAGTAATGATGTCTATGAGACAAAGATTAAAACAAACAACAAGACTGCACAGGCCTTGAGATGCAGCAGCTCCTTCTGGATGCAAAGGTACCTTCACTGTAGCATGCAGCTCTTTGGAAAAAACAATACAATCATTTGCTATGGATAGCTTTACCACCTGTCTGCACATTGCAAGGTGCAACACAGTACAAGCAGGGGGAACCTGGAGCTTTGCAGTACATTCTGCACCCTGCTCTTCCTCCCTTGTTACACTGGAGGGATGTCAGACCCGTTCTTCCAAGTTTGCTCTATACCCTTAATTGAACAAAGGGGCTGTAAGAAAACAGAGGACAGACTCTGTCCTGGAGACCCCCATGGGACGGGGCTGTGAGCACTGACAGAGCTGTGGGTGTCCCTGTGCACTGCAGGGGCATCGGATTAGATGACTTCTAATGATTCTGAAATGATTCTATGACCCAAGCACTCAGCTTTCCTCACTGCGATCCTTTTGAGTCAGAAGATGAAACACTGTTTACAGAAGTCTTGTGTGCTTTCTCAGAGTGAAACTGCAAAATTCTATTTGTTTGCATTCGTAGGAGGTTGAATGTAAATCGCAACAGCTGTGGTTCAACAGGAGGAAAATAAAACTCAGCGAAGTAGAGACATCCTTTGGGCATCACAAAGAAATACGTGAGCTAGGGAACACATCTCTGTAGGGAATAACACTCCCAGTCTTTGATTATTTTCAGCTTGGAGAGCAATGGGAAACAAGGCACAGGATCCAGCTGGTATTCTCAGCTGATAGCCTTCTCTTTCCAGGCAAATTCTAGAGATGCCCGATTCCTGGAACACTGCACATGCAGGCACACATACAGGCTTTGGGAACACAGAATCTCAATTCTGACTGAAGTCTGAATTTGGAAAAAAAGTCCACAATGCTTTTTTCGGGAGGAGGAACACAAACAGTAAATGACCTGTCAGCAGAACCTGCGGAAAAGATAATGACACAAAGTTTTCCACTGGGGCATCAGCAAATCTTCAAATGCCATGACTATCAAGGCACTGCTTTGCAACAGTGTTTCTGGTCCATAAACGCAAAACCAGAAGTCACTCCAGGAACTGAAAAGCCTAGCTGAACAAGGGAGGAGAAGAGTCTGCAGGAGAAATAAGAGGTGGAATTACAACGTTTAGTTGGCTCTCCTGGGATGGGACGTGCAGAGAGGTAAAGCCTTCCCTGGAACCACTGAGTGGAACAAAACAGCAGGATGAAAGTTTGTAGGTGATGGATGACTGAAGAGCATAGATCCATTTTTATGCCATCCTCTAGGAAAGCCTGAAAGACCTTCAGCTTCTTTTTTCTTTCAGCTTACAAAGCACTTAGAATGTTTAAAATTATTTTAAGATGCTTTATGATAAGGCTCTGCCAACACAAAGGTCTCACAACAACCCATTTTTTAATTTACTCCTGTTTTAGCATTATTTATCTTGCCACAAAATCTACATAGATTTCCAGAAATAACACTCTGTACTTCTCTCTCTAAGTATTAATAGACTTTCCCTTCTGCCTTTGCCCACTATAAGGAGGAAATGGAAATTAGAAATAAGGAACTAGAACAAAAAAAGCCAAGCAGCTGCAGACCAGTTATCAACAGGATTAAAATTAATAGGTTATTAAAAAGACAGGATGAAACAATCTGCAAAGACTCTGGAATCAGAAGTCAGGAATGCGAATAACAAGCAACCTGCTAACAGCAAGCTGCTCACTTGTTTCTATCTCTCACTTTGATTGCAGCACCTGCCAAGGCTGTTCTGCTTTCCTTTGGCTCTGTAAAGGGCCCTAAAATTGTGACAAACTTTATAGGCGTTTACTGCACAGCACCTTTTTTGCATCAGAGCCAAATCTGCACCTCTGAACATATGTGGAAGGGTTGAGCTCAAGGCTAAAGCCTGAAGCAAGCTGCCTTGCTGCAGCTGTTTGCAAGTAGGCAGGCTGCATGCTTCAAAGAAGGGGTGTTACAGCAAGGAGAAACTAACTAAAGGCTGCTGAGAAAGGACGAGTCATTACTGGGTCAGGATGACCTGCCTGGACGCCTTCCTGTGCAGCCTGTTGTAGGAGCTGCTTTGCAGGAGCATTGCACTCAATGATCTCTAGAGGTCCCTTCCAACCCCTACAGTTCTGTGCTTCTGTGATCATCTGCCTCATAAAAACACCTTGTAAAAACCAAGCCAGTTTACCTAGTGTCAAGTCAACCTCCAGCTTTGTGCCCCCCCAGATCAGAGGAAAACACAAGTTCCTATTTAAGTGTCCTAGTCATGCTGACAAACAGTCTCCCCTTGCTGGGCAGGAGCACAGTGACCACAACAAGCGTGACAACACTGAGCTCCAGACTGCAATCCAGAGCAGTCACCACAGGGCCAGAGGGGGAAGATGAGGACCGAAATTTGCTGAGCTTCAGAAGATCTGCAAACTCCCACAGGAAAAGCTGCTCAGCAGGAGCCACATGACACACCAGTCAATGGGATCACTGCAGGCTTGTTTCAAGGAAGTCTGAGCCAAGACTGAACCTGAGCACACTGCATTTTTCTCGACAGGGCAGGCAGGTGAGCCAGCCCTGCAGTTGGCAGTAGCCATCATCAGAGCTGTAAAAGAGGAAAATGACATTTGTTTGGCACAAGCATAGCAGTAAGGGATAGATACGAAAGTTGTGGCTCACCACTTTCTCCTCTCCTAGCATCCTGCACTGCACAGAACATCACTACGGTGTACGGAATGGAGGGGGGGACCATATCTGTGAACTGCACCTATAACCCCCGGCAGCAGCGGTGGAGAGAGAAGAGCTGGTGCAAGCAGATCGATGGGAATAAGTGCCAACACGTGGTGAGCGCCCGCCGCTTCTGGCTGCCATTCCTGAAGAACAGGAACGGCACCACCTCCATCAGCGACAACATCCAGGATGGGGTCCTGACCGTGACCATGAGGCGACTCAGGAAGCAGGACGCCGGGCTGTACCAGTGCAGAACGGAGTACCTGGGGGAAACCAACACCTTACAGAGGGTGCAAGTGGATGTGCTGACAGGTAGGTCCTGGGGCTCTGAGTTTCACCAGTTCCTACTTAAATTTCACGTCCCTGCAGATGCCAGGATTGTACTTCAGTAAACATTTACTTTTGTCTGTCTCTAAGGAAGTCCCAAGCCTGCTTTTATTTCCCAATTTATAGCAACATAAACTCACTGCTACAGGACATCTAATACATGGACATCTAATACATGCCATCTGTCACCACCCAGACTAACCAGTGCCCAGCCTCACTTTGGTCACCCATGCCTATCTGGGGCACTGGTTTTGTGACACCACTGAATATCACATGGAAATATTTGCAGACTGAACTGTTCTGTTTCTGTCACCAGCTGTCCTGGAGACCCAAATCCCAGAGGAGCCCAGTGCTGTGCAGAGCATCTCCAGGTAAACCATAATATTCCCTCTTCTAAGACTAAACTAGATTAGCACCTGTAATCCCATTTGAAGCTGAGAAGAATATCACCACAGGCACATTCTCTGCCCCTTCCTAATGCATGACAACCCTTGTAGCTGCTGCATGGTTTCTGAACACAAAGCAGTGCTCCAGGGCCAGGCAAGCCAAATCCTGCAGATTGCAATTTATCCATATGTGAGATCTTGCAGTTAAAACCTATTACAGTTGCTCTAACCTCGCAGACTCTGTTGTGCTCAGGCAGGGGGTACCACTCACAGGAGTTGTTACCACCTTTGCACTTCTATCCAATCCAAATACAAGAGTTTATTTAAGGTTGAATCATCCTCTTCCTTGCTAAGCCTCATTTTGTTGTGTTTATGTTTCCCCATAGCATCCCTCCTGAAGCTGATTTCACGGTCCTCTACATCATTGCTGGATTACTGGCTACTAAGTTTGTGGTGGCTGTGCTGATCTTTATCATTAGCAACAGCATGAAAAACAGAGAGGCAGAGCAGAACAAGCCAAGTTTGAATGAACAGCAGGTCCTCCGTTTCCCTGGTGACCTCGTAGAGCCTGCACATGGTGGAATCAGCCCCTCCTGGGAGAGCACTGCTTAGAGCCGAACCAAAGGGAATCGACAGGGAAATGAACATCAAGCTTTTTTGAGCAAAGCTTTGCCACCTGCTGTAAGAAAGAAAAGCACTGCCTAGTAAACATAGGTATTGACAAACCTATCATTCTGGAGAGGGAATGTCACCATCTACCACCTTCTCTCATTGCTTTCTCCAACACAACCAGATTGAAATGATGCTGCCAGTAACACCTGAAACTGATGGAAGTGGGTGGGACTGAGGGCTGGGAGGAGGGAGGAAGAAGAAATCTTTTCGTCAAGAGATCCAGCAAAACCCTACTCATGTGGCAGAGATGCTTCCCCAGACACAGTAATGCACAGATAATGCATTGCTGTAAGGAAAACCACTGAACATAAACAAGAGTCCAGGTTAACACATCTCAACCACCTGGTGCTTTTGTGCACTCACACACACACACAGTGCAAAAATAATATGACAGTTTCATCTCAAACCTCCAAGGAAGTTTTGATTCGTTGAAGAACAGTGCTGAAGAGCTCATGGCTTTTATTCAGAATGGCCTACACACCTCTACAGAAGCCATGAATGCCTCTCCCAAAAGCATGCAGTACAAATGGACGTATGTGGTTCTACTGAAAGCTAGTATTGCTGTCTAGAAATCAGCTTTGTTAAGACTTGTTTGTAAGACTCCTGTCCATAAAGACTGATTTTTGCCATGCTTATGGCAATGCAGTGCTCTGCTGTCACCTCCAGTCACTGCCAGTAACTGCACCACACGATCAGGCAGTTATTCCTAGCGCTCATCCCCTGTGCAGGTGAGTGTTGTGCCATCTCACAGTACTGCCAGGTGACACAGTCTCTTCTTCCAAGACCCCAAGGATCTCCCTGCACAGAGTGGATCCTTAGCAGGCAGTCAGTGTGGAAAGGAACAAAGAACTGCAGAACATAACAAAGGCATGTGAAATCTGCACACAGCTCTGAGCTTGTTTCCTCATTTCTCAAATCATTCCATGAACACAAAGATAATCTGTCTCTCTGTACTTTACCTGCACTTTTTCTCAAGGGGTTCATTGTTCATCATACCCCAGAAGGAAGCTGCAATTACCTGTCCAAAGAACCCAAACCCAATGCCATTCACACTGCTTCCCGCATTGCCTACAAAGCTAAATAAAAACAAACTGTTATCTTACATAGTGTGGATTCATGACAAAGGGCTGGAGCACAGCAATTCACAATAAACCACTCAGAACAAGCTGCTGTGTTTTGCAGTACTCCAAGCTGGCAGGTGGGTGGATCCAGCCAGCTCCATTTAGCATCTGGTGGTAACAGTAGCTGAGATCCCAAATCCAGACAAGGCTATGCACAGCTGTGCTCCAAACTAATTTCATTTCATTTTGGCATTCCCTCATGACTCTGAAGTGCCTAGCATAGGCATGGGCTGTAAAGCAAGGGAACTGCAGCACTAACCAGGAGGCAACCCTGACACCTCATGCAGGGCCACTCACCGCCTCATGTTGATGCTGGGCACTTCTGAACAAGAACATGGAAGTTGCACATAAGCACAAAACTGCAGGAAGGATTAACTTATCCTACTGAAAGCTGCACTGCCAAGGTGGCACCAGAGCCTGAAAATGCCTATTTCTTTTCCAGCCCCACAGTCTGATTGCTAAATAGAGCTATCTACACAACTAAATATTTAAAGCAAAAAAGCAGCCAGTAAACATGAAGCAGTCTTCCCACCCAAGACAGTTTGCGGTTAATAGATGTTCTCAGCAACTCCAAACTGCTATCATCACTCCAAGCAGCAGAAACTGTAAATGACAAAGCAAGTTTAGCTTCCTCTGTATCAGAGAATTCCTCAGTGGTAACGAAGCTCTAGGATACATTCTCCTCCCCGTGCCATATACCATTTTCTACTGCAGGATGGGAAGTTTTCCAGCCCTGCTGCTCCTGCTGGTGCTGCCAGGTAAGGCTTTGAATCACCCTGAGGAGCAGGGTGCTCTCAGTGCTGCTGTACACATTGCAGCTGTTATTTGCTTGAACAATTTTTATTCAGGCCATCCACGGCCAGGCAAGGAATAGGATTGCCAGATGTCAACAAGAGGAGATGTTCAGCCTGAAATGTGTTTATTTTATTTACACAAGCTTAGGTTTTCTCAGTCTGAAACTACCTAGCATATGGGGAGGGAAATCTGTGTTTGTTATTTTCTCAAACATGATGGATGAGGCATTGTGAGCAGTGTGAGACAGGCTAGCTGCTGTTTGCTCACTTACAGCCTGTGAATACTGAGTCCACAGAGAGGAACAATGTGAATAACAATGGAAAAAGGGTAGTGGCACCAAGGCTGGGTATGAATGTTTCTTTATGCAAACCTGCAGAGACAGATAACTCTTCTCACAGTCCCAGAGGTGTCAGCAGTGTGACGCAAGAAAAGGTGGCACAGGACGTGGTGACTACTTCTGGCATCAATTTTCTTCTTCCTTTCAAAGGATCACACATGGCAGCAGAGGACACGCAAGTCTTTCTGCAAGTACCAGGAGAGTCCTTCAGAGCTAACTGCTCATACGACGTGCACAAGCACTCACGTGAGAAGAAATTCTGGTGCAAGGAACAATCAGAAAAATATTGTCCAGTCTTACCCTTGAGCTTCCCTTCAGAAGAAAGGATTGCTCCTAGCCCTGCACTGCATCCTCCAGCTGAGCTGAGAGACTCTGGAGGCGGTTGGTTTTCTGTAATCATGACAGCACTTCGAAAAGAGGATTCTGGCACGTACCAGTGTGGAGTTTGGGTTGAAATGAAGCAAGTTTTGCTGCAAAGAATACAGATGGTGGTATCACCTAACGGTGAGCTATGTGGTCAACAGCACGCCGGGTGGGAGACTACCAAAAGAAATCAAGAATGATGTGTCAATTCCATTTTTTTGTTTCATAGCTAAACATGGTACATCTAGACATCGTAATTCCCCAAGAGGTTATTGAGGACAGGATAAAACTACGTTCTATAGCTCCATATAAAATCACAATACATATCTGTATGTATCTAGAGGCAGAAATGGCCAATAATTTTTTTTCCCCATACAAAATGAAGAAGTTCCAAAGCGAAAGAAAGCATTATTTTAAAAATCACCACGAAAAACCATGAATACAATTTTGTGGGATTGTACTAATCAAAACCAAATGGGTTTGGGATAGAATATTTCAGACAAGCTGATGAAAACTAAAGGAATACAACTTTCTTTTGCAGAAAATTTTCCATTTTGTTCCAAGTGTTTTCCAGTCACAGAAGCCTTTCACGCAGAAAGGCTCTGATAACTCAAGAAGACTCACGAGAGGGACCAACACCCTCTTAAACTCGAAGACAGATATTAGGCATTAGAAATGTGCTGAGGTGGCTCCTTGTCACAGCACCTGGGCAATGTGACAGCAGTGACAGCCCCAGAATGTGACAGTACCTGATACAGGCTTCCACCTCTTCTACAAGCTCTCTTTGTGCTGCTGTTGGCCTCTCTCCTTTGCTGGGTGATGCACACTACCACAGGGACTGTTCTTTCTTCTCTTTGATCCTTCTAATGAATCACCACTTTATTTTCTTTAGAACCTGTAACAGTGTTTGCCAAAAGAGGGAAATCTCTGTTCCTCCACTGCTCCTATTCTGCACCAATCAACACTGGAGAACTTCAACATTTTATTTGGTGCAAAATGGTGTCCCAAATTACTTGTCACCCTATTATCAGAGGTAATGCTGATCAAAGTATTGTTAAAGCAGAGAGGACTGAAATGATGAATGACTTCTCATGGAAAATGATTAGAATGTGGCTGAAAAAGCTCCAACTTAATGACTCAGGAGAGTATCGTCTTGAGAGCCATCTCCAGGGGAGAAACAAACTACTGAGGAAGATCGTGCTGAAAGTTTTGGGTGAGTTAATCAACGAATTAATGATGATCTTCTAAAAGTCAGCAATTTCTTAATACTTGACAAGAAAGATTACAGGTCAGTGCTAAAGAGCTCTCTTCTGAGCCTTGAAATTTCCTGAGACACAGATAACTCCTGAATTTCCTTTTTAAAACAGATTTTCTGACACACACTAATGGTATAAATTGCTGCCAGTTCTTGGGAGGGGGGCAGTCTGACTTGGCTTCCTAGACTGATGACATTTCACATTTGCATCAGCAGATGGAACAGACTCCAAGTGATCTGAATGTTTCCATGAATTTCTACCTGAGGTCACCTCTTTGTCACTGTCTGTTAATGAACTTTTGAATTTAATACTTCCCTTCTGCTTTCAGCCAGTGCAGAAAGCAGCAAAACAGAAAGCATTGAGTGGAAACAATCTGATCTTTCTGACCGGACTGAAAAACGCAGGAGGGGAGGTAAATAACGAGATCCCTTCTTTAAGACAAAGATGTCAAGATTTGTCTTCTAAGAAACTTTCTTTCTAGCAGCATTCAAATGCAACTCAGCTTTCAGGCTGCTCTCTAAACTGACATGAATTTTTGTGGCTTACCTATTTGGCAGCAGTGAAAAAGCACCAAAGGCCCATAACCTGAAGGAAAGAAACCTGGAATCACAAGATGTCTGTTCCTGTCCCCGTAGCTATTTGCTGCTGGCTCTCTGGCTGAGCCTACACTGGTGCTGTCATGCACATGCACTGCTGACAGTACACCAGCCAACAGCATACACAAAATCCCAGCTCTTTCCTGAGAAAATGGATGATCCTATAACTGGATGATTCCCATGACTCAGCTGCATTGATAAGCTTTCTTTTGCTGATGAATAGCACAGGATGGATATCCTTGTGCATTCCACAATGTCATGGTTATCAAACAAGCAGTATCTCTGGAGCATGCTGGCATGACAGAGAGTCATCAGGGATGGATCAGTGTGGGAAAATCATTCACTCCTGTTTTTTTTTCCAAGGGGAAAAGTGGAATATGGATGGCAGCCCCACAGACAACAGCAGAAAGGACCAGAGGTAAAAAAAAACAAAGACACCCAGACTCTAATTATGGCATTCTGGCTGCACTGCAGGATTTGAGCAGTGCTGTGATAAACGTGCACACACACACACACACACAGGCTTCTCCCTGCGGAGTTTGGGTCAACCTGCTCAGGCCCTTTGAAAGCCATACAAGTCTCCTACTGGTTTCAGGAGCTCTAGGTGGGGACTCCACTGAAGATGCTCAGTTTCAGTGTTATTCCTTTCTACCTGCTTAAAAAGGGACAACTATACAACCCACGCAATGTTATGTTACAATGATTCTGCTCTTGTACAAGCACAACAGCCTAAGAGCAACCCATAATGATCCTGATCAAAGACAGACCATGAGAAGGGCTCCTGCATCCCGATAAGGGATGCCTTTGAACTCTAAGCAGCACTGAATTGAGTCCAGGAAGAGATTTCAAGCTTCTGAATGTGCCCCAGGCTTGTAAAGAACCAGAGAAAATACAGTTGGGATGGATCCTCTGTGACTGCACATCAGTACTGACCTCACAGAATCACACTTGTTGAGAGACAACGGGGTTAATAGTTGTACGCTGAATTTAATTTCAGACACACAAAACCTCCTTCCAAACTAGCCTAGTCACTGTGGTGCTGTAAATAGTGATGGAGACACCATGTTTTCCTTTACAGGACTCCCTATGCTGTCATGGTGCTGATGTCCTTGCTGGCTACAGCTGCCCTGATCGCTACTGTTACACTCATCACCAGCTGCATGGGGAAGAAAAGAGCAGGTAAAGCTCCCTAATCCTCTTGTCTTTTTCCTGCCCCTGCAGCCTGGTATCCCAGCACCCTGAAGGTTAAGGATGGTTTATTCAGAGGTATCATTGTTCAGGAAAGAAGTGCAACTGAGCTGAGAGCGATACACAGCATGTGCACTAAACTTCAGGGAAGGGAGAGTGGAAGCAGTCATTTTTTTTTTAATGAAAAAATAAGTGTGTGGTTTTACACTCAAGAGACTCCGTTCTTTGTGGCAGGAAAAGAGATGGACTTTGACAGACATCCTGCTTTCAGAAGGGGAGTGCTACAGGTAAGAGATCATCTGAAATCCCTTCTTCTTGGTGCTCTGTTTGATCTCTGCTATCAGTGCTGGCTCTGTGCTCAGCGCTCAAGAGGATCACAAAGCACCCGGTGCCACTCATCCTACAGTGAGAACGTGTTCCATCCAGCCAAGCCAGCAGGCTGAAGCTGTCTGTGTTTGTGACCACATCTGGGTGCAAAACAGACACAGCCCCAGTAACCTGAGCAAGTCATAATCCCTGCTTTTGTTTACAGTACTCAGAAAATAAATTCAATAACAAATAGGTAATTGTGAAAGTTTACTGGCCTTGGATCTTCAGTAATATCACCAAAGCCTCTCATCAAAGGAAAACTTTGTTATTTGCGATCTCTCTAAATATTAAGTGTTATCTGTTGCTGAGCCATTCTATCTATGATTCAGGATTGGAAAAGAGAGTTTTGTGTACAAGAATTTTCCCCTTTTCCCTGCACCCTCTCTCCTCCTCCTCAGTTTCATAATATGTGGAGAAAGTGTTTGTAATCGTAATCGAACCGAGGCTAATATTGAGAATCAAAAAAGTGCTGCATTTCTTTTTAGCTTCTCGTTCTGTATGTTTTTAAAGGAAGGAAGAGAAAAAGCAAGTAGAATATCAGATGGGGACCACAGTGAGAGTACGATATATGCTGCAATAAGGCACCAACCTCGACCCAAACCTGAAGATGTGATGTATGCCAACATACAGCCTTCACCAAAAGTTTCCTTCCTTCAGGAACCACCAGGGAGCTCACATCCCTCAGGGCCTGTGGAATATGCTACCCTTATCTTCAAGGACACAACTCCACAGTCTGAAAATGAAGAGAGAAGAACAGGCCTACTGAAAGAAAGCAGCACAAAGCCTTCAGCTTATTGATGGAATGCTGCTGAACTGAGCTTAGAAACAACCCGCACGTAACCAATTGCTGGAGATGCGTACACACAGCACTGCTGAAAGGATGAGACACATGGATGCACAAATCTTCCCTGAAAAACAACCAAACTTTTCTAATAGCACAGCAGCACAATTCAGCTATCATGAACAAACATTGTGAAAGGCTGTGGCGCATTTGCCTTCTGTACAGGGCTCTATTTTTAAGCAGTGAGCAACTATAAGCCCGACTTCAGGAAACAGGCGGGCTGTGATAGCAGCAGATCCAGTGCCACAGCCAGCAATGGGCTGCGAGATATGGGAGCACAGCACTTCTGTTTGGACTTCCAACTCACTTAAATATCTGCATGTGAAATGTTAATTACTGCCCACTGATTAGGACCAAAACAGCAAAGTGGTAAAAGTACCTGCTGAATTTCAGCACAGAAGTTGTTTTGCGTACTTCAGGGAGACAAGTAATGCCCTCAGTTTCAACAACAAGTAATGCCTGGTTTCACCAAACCAGGGCTTTGCTGAATAGTATTTGTCCACTTAAAATGTCTTCAGTCTGAACATACAGTTGCAGAATTCAGACTGTACGTATAACTTTGGGTTTCCTTGCCTTCTCTGCTTGTTTATTAATGCCACATCCATGCTACAGTATAACTCTGTCTTGGCTCTGTTGTAAGTTTCACTCATTCTGATCAAACTATTGAATCCTGTTATCGTGGTGATCACACCAACACCCCTAGGAATGATGGATAACTCCTAGGATAAAGCTGACTAAGATTCTCACCTCAGCTCTCTGAGTTGGGTCCACAGCTGCTGAACGTGACACAGAAATGGCTTTCGTTTTTTATATTACAACTGGAAGAAAAGGCACGTGAAGAGGCACAGTCAGCAATTAATCATATCACCTGCACAGAAACTCCACTTCGCCTGTGGGTTCTTCTCCATTTCTGAGGAGACGTGGGGAGAGGAGAGGGGAGAGAAGATGAAACTTCCCTTGCCAAGTCTGATGTGGCTACAGGACATCAGGGTCTTTGCTGTTAAAGCTGAGATGACTTTGTCACTCTACTGCAAATTCTCTGAAAACAGTACCAGAAGAAAAACATTAAAATAACTGCTAACTATATGTGTGTGCTTTTTGATTCCTAAAGAGCTGCACTGGCTCACGCTGGAAAGAATTAATGACTGAGGCTCATGTCACTTTTTAAACAACAAACGTGTTTGCATGAAGCCCTGCATTAAGGTCTGAAAATATGCACACCTGGAAAGATGAGTAATTGTCATAACAAGCATCAATACACATCTCTACTTATTTAACCAGTCTGATTCTCTGAAAGCAACTAAACTTTGTATGTCCAAATTTCTCATCTAGCTGCAGTGGCACACAGAGTAGATCTTAAAAGTAATGTAATGGAAATAACTCACAACAGAAAGGCTTTCTGGTACACACTTCCTTTTCTCAAGAAAGCTGAAGATATCTACTATCACATGATGAAGCTGAAGGGGTTTGTAGGGCCAGTTTGGCACTTAGATTGCATCAGTCCTCTGTCACAAAATGCAGATAAGTAACCACCAGCCTTAGAGCAAAGGCTCTCTGAGGACTGTTTGCATCTCTAACAGGCAGTAGAAGTATTTCCAAATGCCCCATGGCTGAGCAGCCTGTCTGCTCACTGCAAAGCACTCTGGCCTTAAGTGGACTATAAGAACAGAACAATCACACAGACTGTGAATTACACTGCAGAGATTTCTACCCCAATCACCACAGTATTATGCCATCCTGAGAACATCCAGCAGCAGCTCTGCAAATTGGGCATGCAAAAGAAGCCATTGAGATCTCAGCAAAAGCCCCCCAAAAAAACAAAACGGCAAAGTAAATTGAATTTTGGATGATACTGGTTGGGAGCAATACCAGAGATCAAGGAGTCTCCTGCTGGATGAAATACAGTTGGCTCATCTGTACCTTCCCTTTTCCTCTGGAAATCACTGGGGCATAAGAATATTTTTGGAACAAATGTTTGTTTCCAGCTCCTTGAAATACAAAGAATTGGCAACATGTTACTGCATGAGGAACCAAGGAGCAGAGAAAACCCAACACTTACCAACCGTGTCCACTTCACACATTAGCAGCACAAAATTTTATCCATTCTGTTCACTTTAGAATATCTGTTCAATTGTCCTCAACTTCCTGCCTTACTTCTCTCCTGTTCCCAGCAACTCAGAATATTGATTCCCGGAGCAGAAAGCTAAGCAATAAAGGACAAGATCCTGGCAACCGTGACTAGCCCAAGATTAGCAGATACAGGAACTTCTCTCCAAAGCGAGGGGTTGCTTTAAATTAGTCTGGTCCTGCTCTTGTTAGGGAACTGAAAAGAATTTCAAATTAAGAATAAAGCAAAAAGCTGTGAAAATCAATATCTGAGTGGCTTTGTAATCACATAACCTATTATGTGCTGTGGGCATTCCCTTCAGGCCTATGATGCCTGCTTATTCTCCTGGGCCACTGCCCTTCATGCTCTTCTGCATTCATGACTCCTCAACTGCGATGTCCTTGAGGATTTATTCTGCTCTATTTGCCCACAGTCACACTTGTAGCATTTCTGCATTTCATCACGATCTCAGAGCTGCCAGCAACACTGTGTCAAAAGGGCAGGCCAGCATCTGTCAGGACCCACACTGACTGCCAGCCTTCGGCGCGCTGCAGCACAAACCAGTGTCCGAGCTTGAAGCCTGGTGCAGAGAGAAAACTATTTTTTTCAGAAGATAACCCCTAACAGCAGTACCTGACTGGATGCTCAGAACTGCCTGCTGGAGGCACTTCTAGCCCACCTCATCTAAGGGGAAACCATCCCTCTAATTTGGGCACTGACCACAGGCAGTATGACTGTGCTCTATCAGAACTGGTATTAGAAGAACTCACCTATTTTCACTTAGAGCTTTCAGCCAGTATTTCCAAGCTGTTTTACAGATAGCATGGAAAGCACTGTTAAGGCATCCCGTGCAGGAGAAAGAAACACAACAGTGCTTGGAGTAAAGCTGCCTTTTTTGTTCTTGTTCTGCTTGTGGGCAGCAGGTGACACTCATGCAAGCTCAACACCTCTGCTAGCAAAGGAGTTGCTTTTGCACCAGCAAGGGCAGAACCAAGCCCCAAGAGCTCTACTGATTCTAATTCCTTCAAGAACTCATTGTATGGCCACAAGTGCCTGCAAAGTTTAGTGTATCCCTTCTAAAATAAAGCATATCCCAAGAACACAGTAACAAATGAACAGGCTTAACGCAGTATTTTGTTTATATAAATATATATATGGCAATTATTAATCCAAAGAGCTTTGCAAACAACAAACATACAGCAGCATACAACCACTTGATACCGTACAAACAGACAGCCTAACAGCAGTCCTGATAAAAGTATTTATGTTATCATTGCTGAAGTTACAACACTGCTGAGAGATCCTGAGCAGCATGCGTGGAAGGAACAGCACGCCTGAGAGGGATTAGCAGGCGGACATGGAAGCTGAGCATTTCTAAAGCCTTCCAAAGCCTGCCCAATCCTCTTAAGAGGAAAACTTCCTTTTGTACCAAAACACAAAAAATAAGCTCTAACAGTCTCCATTCTGCCATATTTGAGCAAATAAAGATAATGACATGATACTAGGGAGTTTGGGGACAAGAATAAACCACCCTTCTGGAAGATAACCAGCAATACAAAGAAGTAAATGTTTTGGGAAGCACAGCACTTGCGTAACGTGAAGGTAGTGACCTCTTTTATGCTTGCACAACCCCGAGCAGATTCCAGCACTGCACCCATAGGGCACTCCCTGTGCTCCAGGGCTGTTTGTGTCATCATTTGACTTTTCTGGAAGACTTCTCTGGAATAATTACCCGAGGCGTGCAATGACTCCCGCAGCATGCACACAGAAGATGGCCCTCAGGCACATGGCGCATAATGCCAATGGGTAGCCAGGAGCTGGATTGGCAAGGGAGAAGAGACAGCGTGACTTCTGGGCATATTTCCCCAAATAATTATTGTCTGAAACAAAATACTACCAAGCTAATCACTATGCACCTCCTTTAGCCACAGCCCAGAGATTCCCCCAACAACTCTTCCACACTCAAAAGGACACACAAAAGGAACACTGACCCGGTGACAGCAGCCTTCCTTTCCTCCCTCCCGCAGCTGAGAGGCCATTCCCAACTCCAGGAGGGCGACAGCATCTTCCTCAGCCTCAGAGCTGAGCTACGCCCTCCCCCCAACTCCCTCAGCCCCTCAGCCGCCATCTTGAGACACTGCCCCATGCCAGGCGGGAAACTAGCAGGTCACCACCAGCCAATCAGAGGCGTCCCACCTCAGCACCCACCAATAAGCACGCGTGGCGGGACACCACAGCTTCCCCCAGCCAATCGGGTTCCAGCGCTCGCAGGCGCCAGGCCTCCACCGGCGGTTCCTTCAGGCAGAGCAATGCCAGGTGTGGAAAAGGCTTCTTCCTTCTGACTGAAAGGAGGACTTTAAAGCAGAGCCAAAGCCGCTGCTTGGTTTATAAATTTTTATTAGCTGGATAGTGTACACAGTACTTACAATTGCATCTATTAAAGACCAAAATACACTTGAAAAAATGCATTATATAAAAAAAATTATAAACTTTTAAACTATATACAAACTTCGCCTTACATGATTTAAATTTCAGTGTCCCCTCCCCCCCCCATCCAGTCACAAAGAATTTTTTCTCCTCTCTCCCGTTTTTAACATGCAAAGCCTTGAAGCTTCACTCCAGCCAGCCAGCCAGCATCACTCCAGGACCATTCTCCAAGTGTCGCCCTGCCATCAAGCAAACGCTGCTTTTAGAGGCCAACACAAATAACCAAATGCAGGTGAAAAACGTAACAGCTGCACTCAGGTTTTCACATCCTTATTTGAAGTATTAACAGTAAAGCTTCCTAAGTAACACGAATCCATAGGCCTTAGTACACGTTCTACAACAACAGATCAGAGAACCTATATATGAAGGGCTCACTGGGGAAAAAAAGTTCTAGTCGTTTGGAAGAAGTTGACAACTTCTCTAAGAAAAACAAGAATTACTAGTTTAAAAGAAATGAACAAAAACCTACGTCAGAGCAACAATCTCTGCTTCCATAACTTCCAACTGTCTGAGGGGGTTCTCTGAGACAGAGATTAGCTGTCAGTTGAAGAGCAGAAACGTTATGGAGGCTGTCTTACTGCAGCACAGAGATGTTCCTCCAGCACATGAACACCCTATCGACAACATGTACAGATGCATAAAAAAGTATTTACAATAGTGCGGCAAATTCAACTAAGGAAAAGGTTTTGTTATTCCTTCACTAAACGAGAGCTATGGGTTTCCTGAAATGGGTGACCTCACAAGAAATGCCAGGTGAGGATCTTATAGTTACTGACTGAAGAAAAAAAAAGAAACAGCACCACGCTCTAACTGGCCAAGTATTTTAAGGCAGAAGCAACCAAAGGCACCAAAAATGCTATCAATGCCTTTTTGAATAGCTGGAAAAAACCCTCATGTAAAGTTTGTGAGCAGAATACTAGATTACTAATATAATTTTTGACAACTGAATCCAAAGATCTATTTGGAACTTTTACCTTTCTCTGTGGCTGCAGGCCTGCCTTGCAGAACTGTTTGTCAGCTTTGCTTCAGCTCACCACGTCAGCTGTGTAAGGGTAAGAATGCAGAGCTAGAAGCTCAGAAGAGAATAAACGGAACTTCATTTAGAAAATCCAGCTGCCTTACTGTGAATGCCAAATCTGCTCCTCCTCTTTGTACCTATACTGGTTAAGTGTTTTTGCAGGTGGCTGATCTGGACACTTGTGTTAGTACCTAGGCAGGCACTCTGCATCACAGGTTGCTTGTTCATCAATTCCATCACATTTTACATCAGTAAAAATGGGACAAGTTTAAAAATCCATAACGAACAACAAGTTGTGTTGTTAAGGTATGCAGCCAGAAACCAGTTGTAATAATGAAAAATCCACGACATTGTTATTATTATTTTTTGAATGCAGCTACTTCTTGAGTGCCACATTTTAAAAACTCTTCTTTTTTAAGTGGATAGTCTGTTAGAAGCCTGAACAGTTAACCAATACATGCCTTCATTCAACAGTCCTTCAAAACATCAGTATGCACCTGGTTGAGTGGCCCTGCGCTTCTGCCATCATAAAACGTCCCTCACTCTATGTAGAATGAGAACTGTAGAACTGATTTACAGCACACATCAAGAAATACTGTCAAAAAGATGGTCAAGTGTTATCACTCAGACGTTGCAGATTGTATTTCTTTTGGAGAACCATGCATCAGACTGGTTAGGTTGGAAATTAAGATTTTAAAAGTAATCCTTTGGAAGAGACTCACTTAGAAGCTTCAATACTTTAATATTGGCATCCACTCTTCTTCCAAAGCACTAACTGCTGGCAATAAACATACCAAAAAACACCAACAAATTGCATTTACTAACTAAATCCTTATCCTCACATCAATAACCCTCTCCACTCTTACTTCCTAGAAGAGATACACAATAAATCAAGTCCTGTAATAATCTTGAACTGTTTTGATCACTTTGACTTGATGGCTGAACTTTTCCCAGAGAAGAGTTTGCTGTTTACATATTTTACAGAGTGGAGCTTAAGAGAACCCCCTTCAGTTTCTGTCAGCTTTGCAGGTGCAAATGCAACAGCAGAGAACAGTTCAGTAGACAGTAAATCCAAAGATGCAAATAGTGGACGTAACTAACAGTTCTCTACTGGGAAAATGAAGTACTGTGGTATAGCCACATCAGTGCTGGTTGCTATCAACTGGATTATGTCGCTGCGCAGAAGGGTCATAACTCCAAGAAGCCTCTACTGGCCCTCCTTCAGCATGCCAGTTATTGCTGGTCAGTCAGTGGTACACTCACCACGGCCAATCTTAATGCGAGAGATGTTATAAAGGAGAAAAAAAGGAAAAAAAAAAAAAAAGGCATGAGCTGTCAGACTGAAATCCCTGCACTGAATCAGAAGAGTATACCAAGACAGTCATTCAGTTTCTATTAGTTGAGTCAACTGCAGTTAAAATCTTTACCACACGCTGAAAAAGTGGTGTTTGTCTGTAGAAAAGGATAGGCTGTGATGTGGTGATTGTCCCATTGAAAGACTTGCTTGATACACTGGTAGGGTAGGACAGACTTGCAGAAGGGACAGGAATTCAGTTACATTTTTATGTTAGCAGTGATTAGGAGACTCTGATCATCTGTGTCATTGCTTCTTCATTGTTCTGAGGTGGATCCTAGAGATACAAAATAAATGTCATATTGTAATTTCAAAAATTTTCCATAACAGAGTCACTCACAACTGCCTTTATCAGGAGCAGATACTCCTCTACCCCCCTCTGCCCACGATCTTCAAACATACCACATTTCTACTGGGTTTTCCAAGCCACCGCAGGGTAACTGTGATACACATCTATTAATAACTCCTAGCAACAGATTGTTTCTGGTATTAATGGAAGGTACAGGTCTAGCGTTTGGACAGGATTCCACTTTAGAATGAGAAATATCATTCCACTAAAGTCACAGGACGACTTTAAAGCGCTGGTCAACAACAGAATTTGCTACTTCTACCCTATGATATTCCTTCCCTTGAAACCTCTCTTGCATTTTATTTACGTATCTAAGTGGACAACTAAGAATCAGACAAACTTTTTTGAACTTTCCAACACGTGTGAGACAAAGCATGTCCCTTAATACACGTCCTAATAAGGAAACTTCTGGTATGCAATCACAACAGCTGCACAGATTGCATTTCTTAGAACAATAAATACAGGCATTCTCTGTTTGTAAAACAAATGAATACATTTCTATCAACATTACTATGAATTAATTACTCAAGGTAAATGAGTGCTTGCTCTCCAACAGCGTGAGAGGGAGGATTTCTTTACAAAGTTCCAAACAAAAATCTGTAGGCAGGAAGAGCCAAAGGTCAGCAGCCTAACCCAAAAAAAGAACAGGAAACAGTAGCAACACTCCTCTAAACTGTAACCTGGAGAACTCAAAGCCTGCGCTGCTCAAAGAACAGACAAAATTCTACTTACCTGCATATGGGGACTGTCTTTCTCCTTTGGTGAGAAGAAACGCCCCCCTTCCCCTCGCTTCCTGGCCATGGCGTGACGATGCCGAGACTCATGCAAGTATTTCTGTCACAACACAGAAGAGAAGAGCAATGAGAGCGGCCTATTCCTCCTCAGTTCAGTACTTACAGTAATTGAGAACTCGGCAGAAAAACCTGATGCAGACTCCATTCTTTCCCCCCACCCCTGAACTAAGACGTTTATGGTAAAGACCTGTTTGAAATAGAGACATTAGATGAACTATTAAACGTTTGGAAAGGGAGGACTTACTACCACCAAGGGACTTGGAGATTACTCAGAAGTAGTTTATGAACAAGCGAAAAAAAAAGGAAAAAATACTAAGATTCCAACCATCATTTTTCTGGCAGAGATGATTTTCTGTGCCTTCCTCACGCAGCAGCCCTGTATTGGATTTGTGTTATATTCTCACCCTTCTCTCTTTGGGAATTTTCCCCTCCGCTTCAAGCTTTGCACGTGCCTGCCTCCTCTTCAGGATCCGATGGTACTGCTTAGCATTTACGTAGAGGGGCTCTTCTTCAAGCATCTCTGCTCCGGGCAAAGGTATCCGCTGGATAGCTGGTACTGATCCAGCTCCAGGCACCATCTGTACAGAGAAGAATGGTTTTACAACTTTTAGTTTGGAATGAAAAGGGAATGCAGAGATACACTTTTGGAAGTGTTTGCGATGGAATGGGCTTGTTTTTTCTGCAGTTAATGCGCCAATTTAAACTGAAAGGAGTAATAAAGTCCTTCTCAATCTGCAGGACAAATTTAAACACATCAATGACACCATTTGTGCTTCCTTTCTTCGTGATAATGGTTAAAATTTCAATACAATACACAATTCTATGACTATGTTATTGCATCTTGTCTAATTTGCATGCAGGAGATGCCCATCACTCCCCCTTCTTTTAGGCTATGAGTTATTTAATTTATATGATAATTTCAGAGCATTTCTTAAGCAATTATTACTCATAGAGCTGCTGACATCTAGTGGAGATGAACAATAAAGTTCAAGTTGAAAGGCATCCAACTACAAAGACATAAGAACTGGCAGAAAAAAGTCCTAAGAATCAGAAAAACAAATACCAAGGAATCCTCGAGACATGCGATAGTCGATTCAATCTTTTTAAATGCCTGCTTATCAGCTAACAGCTTATCTTGAGTTTCAGCTCCTGTATTTTTTTAACTCAATCTGCTGTAGCTGAAAGCAAGTACAGAATACACAGATTACAACAGGACAGTGGCCATTAAAACTGAAAGCTTTCAACCCTTAAACTTCTAACTCCTGTTCCTACTGAGAAGACTGACCTCATTAAGCTGACGTGGATCTCAGACAACAACTTAAGCACTGACACCTTACAGCTCTACCTTCAACTTAAACACGTACCATAACCATTCCACCTGAATTGACAACGTTTCCAGCAACTGGCAGTGTCACTGTGACAGTCCCTTGTCCGCTGCTGGTGGTATTGGTGTTGGCTCCTGCTTGCACAATTTGTGCTCCAGCCAGACTGGCTGCTGGAATGGTGATCATGCCTGTAACAGGGACTGTAACTTTAAGAAAATAAAACACAAAAGAAAACAAACAAAAACACGCACACAGAAAGAAGGGAACACCATTAGTCCCACTTCTGTTTTTCACTCATTCACCCTTCCATAAGATTTAGAAATGCATTACAAGATATCAATTAAAACATACTTTGTATTTTCTGTACCTGCACTGTAATCCCAGCCTCAGGTAAGAGAGCAGGCATTTGAAAGTGCAGAAGGAAATGAGCATTCCTACTCTAACAGTTCTTACCATGGAAAAAAAGGATGTTGCAGTTTTCCTGTGTAACGATACAAACATTTGCTGTGCCATCACACCACAGCAGGCACAGCGCTACCAACCAGCACTGCAACGCACGGTTTGCACCGACAGCCATGGCAAGGCAATGAAAACCTATAAAATGGACTTTGTGAAGTCCCAGCTTTTTGCACCAGAACTCGTACCTTGTTGGAGAATGGTTCCATCCGCGTTAACGGGCTGATAGACTATGGTCTGCCCTTCAGCCGTTTGTGCTACTTGTTGTCCTTGAACTGCTATTTGCTGCTGAGTCTAAACAAAACAGAGAACATAGGAACTTCAGAAATTGCTTCCTTCTCAAGTTTCACAGTTCCTGAATTAATACACAGTGCTTACGGCACTTCAGGCATGTATTTCTTTTGCTTTATTACTAGCATAAAGAAATAGAATGGAGTACAAACCAACTGAACTGAAGGTAAAGCACCTGAAGCACGTATAATAAACTTTTTCTAATACTGCAGTATTTAACAGTCAGAGAAACAAGTTCCAGTGTCCTATCTCATTATCAGTACATTAAATTCTGGTCCTAACAAACAAAAAAAAACAAACAGCAGAAAACCCAGGTATGACTGGACTACTGCACAACATGGCGCGAGGATGGCATTAGCAGTACTTATGTTTTCAAATTGCAACAGATAGACAAGAACAGCCATGAACCAATATACAGAAACACGATGGATAAGAACATGCAGTCTATTTACTCTGTAAATGAAACACTACAACGATATTAATTTTATTCTCAAGTTCTCCTCCACATTAATATTTTTTTCCCTTTTTACTTAACCGTATCTTAAGTCATTTGCCAAGTTTCTCTTCCTGTTCCTCTCAAGAAAACCCTTTCATGCTGGTGCAGTTACCTGTGTCTGGCCAGCAGTAACTGCAGTCTGTGGCTGCTGTATAATGATCTGCTGGGTCTGGCCCTGCTGCCCCTGTACCTGTACAGCCTGCCCACCTTGAATCTGAATCTGACCTGGCTGGACCAACTGAATCTGTGGAAGAAAGAGTCAGAAAGGAACATTAACTATGCCTCTTATTCCCCCTCCTTGGCCTCAGCATTACCAGATCATCTGAGGATGATTTATTGCTGCAAAGAAAAACACAAAAACAAAAAAAACCACTGATACTTCTCTTTTTCTATTTTATAACGAAGAGCTTTAAATTACTCTTCCTTGTGACACAGCAGTCACTGATAGAACAACAGTCAGGAACGTACAGAATAGAGGAAACGTAACACGTAACATGCCAGCGTCGTCATGTTCTAGCAGATCTCCTCTGCTTACACAGTAAAACAATCAGAAGAAATAAATTCACACAGAACTAGGAATACTACTCAGGTCAAAGAAACGAGGAGTAAGATTGAAGATATCTGCAGAGCGTTAATCATCCAGCACACAGCAGTACTCAGGACACAAATAAAAATGTCATCAGCTTTGTGAAATTCTTCCGCCAATTTGGAGCACTTTTGTGAGATAAAAAAAAAAAAAGAGAAACTGCGATATGGTTTGCAGCTTCTGCTTTAGAACCCAGTTACAGACCTTCCTCTACAACCATAGCATAAAGAACCTAAGACAAAAAATATTGTCTTTCAGCCAAGGAGTTTGAATTCAGTAACTAAATCAACCTCTCAGGACACCACCACCACCACCGCCTCCCTGGATGGTGCAGAACTTCATTCCCAAACCTCATTCTCTAATCACTGCAACACTTCCAACATGCTGCTCTTAGCAGTTCCTCTCTTATTTCTGAGGAACATGCTTTGAGTGCCTGCTGAAATTTAAAAACTGTCTTTTCAATAATTCAAAGCAATTGCTTCCAATAAAATCATCACATACCCTTCCACAATATTACTTTATTTGCAACAGAAACGTTGAAATCCACCTTCTGCCATCACACGTAAGATGAACTCAAGCACAAGAATTATTTTCAAGATTTCTTTTTTTGAAGAATTCAAGTGTATTCTAATGAACTTGGAAGGTTTTCACTACCCCTCAACATACAAAAGCCCGATATGAAGTGCATTTTAGATCCACTCTGAATGCTCAGTTCAGTGTGGCAGATCACAGCCATCACTGCCCAGCCATTCTAACAGCGCTGAGGCGAACCCGCTCTATCTGACAAGGCAGGAACACAGCTCTGCAATTCACCTCTAATGAAATCAGGGTTATCTCACCTGCTGCAGTCCTTGCGTTCCAGAAACGGGGACTTGCATGATTGTCTGGCCCTGGCCCCCAGGCACAGCCTGCACCATGATGGGCTGGCCAGTCGATGTGATCAGCTGCCCTCCGCTCACCTGCACCATTAACGGCTGCCCCTGGACCTGAGGAACAGGAGAAAAAACAAACAGAACAATGAAAAAGTCTGGTGGTGTGAAGCCAGGAACAGAAGTGGACACCTCTCATGGCTAGCTGCTTACCCATCTCAATGAGCGACCAGACAACTGACTCACTTCAGTCACAGCAGGAGTCGCTGTGCTGGGCACGTAATCAGTACCAAATACCTTTGGTTTCTACCACTCTCCATGCTGCTCTGCTGGATTTTGTAAATTATCTTTTCCTGCTGCACTCTATCCAATAAGGCATAAAAGCTGGAGAAGTTTTCTAGACACTATGACTATGTTCATGCACAGCCCAAGAGCAAAGTGTAATAAAAGAACCTTCATTAACTACATCACTGCTAATCTTTTACTGAGGCTTCTAATGAGAAAAAGCTCAAAGTAAGCCATTCTGGCAGAGAGATTCTGCAGCAGCTTCACTCTCTCCAATTACATGCTTACAACATTTCCATTTCCTAACCAATACACAGCCTGTGATATTCTCAGAGAATTTTTTCACGGCTATTAAGTGAAGTTATTAATGTAACAGCACAAAACGCAGCTCAGTAAGGAAGAGTGACAGCAAATGAGCTGCAGACATCTCTTGGACAAAAAACTTAATGCAGATTTCCAAATTGCACATAAAGGTCACTGCAATTGGTCACTAGGAAAAAACTTGATGAAAGAAAAGGCAAGGAGAGAAACTCCCCATATAAACTTTATTATTACCTTCTAAGTCCCAAATGTATCTTTGAGAAGACTACAGAAAGCCACACCGCCTCAGCTGGAATGTGAGAGGAGCCTTTTGAACTGGGTAATGACTCCTAACCAGCTGGGAGTTGTTTACAAACCAGAACAACGTGACAAAAAATCAGAGTTCTTGGATTTCCTAGCAGTAAAATTTAAGGGTAGGCAGTGCCAAACATTCACTCTTCAAGCACTTCCACTGTAGAGCACCAGACTGAGATCGGCACAGATTTTCATCACATTTCACTTCAAAAACCCACCAAATTCCCTCTGCATAGTTCAAATACCCTGCTGAACTACGTGTTAACACACAAACAGACTCAACCACAGTTGCATCCCAGGGATCAACACCTTAAATAGGACACAGTAGCTCTAGAGGTCACCTGATCCCCTTGCCACATTGATCCGTTCCTTCCTCAGCCTCGCAGCTATCACACAGCAGTCGCTGACAAAATGGGCAGTGTGTGTTCTGAGTTACCAGAGAGAAAAGCATGCTCGTGTCAGCCAGAGAAGCACAGCAGCAGTACTACATCCAGCAGGCAGAAAGTAAAGTGGGCATTCCAGGATTCTTGTTAATGCATTAAGGCAAGCAAAGGAAAAAAAAAAATAAAATAAAATAAAAAGAAAAAAAAAAGTGGGGAGAAGTAGGAGGTCACAGTGATCCAAGCAATTCAAGTCAGCCAGCTTTTCATACTTGAACTCCAAACATAAAAAATGCTGTGTTCAACTTGACACCTGGCAAGACCATTCAGACCTGAAGCAAAACCAAAATACTAAGTGAGCAACGCACTGCTAAACTGCTACAGCTGCCCAGGGCTCCTCCACAAGTTTCCTATGTGAGCTAACGAGATGGCAAATGCATTTGCATGGCCCACAGTTCTTCACACTGAAGTAAATCAGGGCTTGAAATGACCATGTGCTTCTTTCCAATTTCTGCTACGTGTGCCGTTAGGAAGCACACATCTGAGCTCCCCTGCAATGTGTAATACAGGCAGGAAATGAGCGATCAGGAGCTAACACTATTGCAGCAGCTAATACTGTTTCCAGGCAGCTTTTCCAATTACAGATACAAAAAGTTTCTCTCTTCTTGCTGGTGCGTCACCCCCTACCTCTGTGCCTCTCTCTCATGTAGGAAAAAAACCTGCAAACTACTCACAGTGAGTATCAGAAATGTAATCGTGGAAGTACAGAAAATCTTTAAGCTTTATCTCTTTTAAGTCGTGTCTCTTGACTTCATTATCTGGGTGGGTTTCTTCCCTTTTGACTCCCATTTCATCCACTGTTTGCTTTCTGAATTACTACAGCTGGAATTCATGAACATGCCTGTGATGCAATGAAAAGCTACAACCTCACTCTTTGTGGGAAACCTCACATAAAGCACACAGTATCAGCCAACAATTTTCCTGTGCCTATTCCAAATCCTGTAAAAAACACAGCATTAGATATGTGGTGATGGGGAGAGTCATGCAGTGCTCACAAACACAATTAGAGAGGTCACCACTACCTGGAGGGTCTGGACTTGCTGGCCTGAGGCGGATGCCACCTGAGCCTCAGTCTGCAGCTGGACAGCAGTGACACCACCCTGCTGCTGGGAACAGGAACAGGAAGAGCTTGAAACACGGAAATGCACAGCTCACACGAGACAACCACGCTTTGCTGAAGAGGATGAATTTTAAAATTCACATACGCTGCTCTCGGAACATATGGAATGTGATTTAACACATCCAAGAATGGAATACTGGCAAACCTGTGCATCATACTGGTAAGCTTCAACATTCCAAACAAAGTCAGTCACAAAGAATACGAGAGGTCATTTTACAGAAATCAAAATTGCTGCTGTCAGCTGCTGCCTATCTGCTAAATGTTTCCTTCCACTACTCAAACTTCCTGTGAAAGGCTTCCAAAATTATGATTTGTTAGCTACAATAAAGGCCATACATTCCTTTCTGCACAGAAGAGCAGCACAGCAGCCTAGGAGTTCATCTGTGTCGTCCCTGCATCAGTGCCTTCCCACCACTGACCTTGAAGGATGATCTCAAGATGTTGCAAGAGCAGTTAAACCTAAAAGCCTCATCTATCTTTAGCCTCCTTAGTAAGAGTCCCAAAATAATCAATGTTAACTGTGTTAGCATTTTGAGAGACGAAGGACAGTCTCTCTCCTGAAAGCTGAAACTGGCTTCTTCAAGAGAAAAAATCACTTAGAAAAACATTTCATGTGCAGCAAATCACTGTGTTGGTGAGCATCTACTGAAAATGAAAGAAGTCAGTGAATGTTTTTACCTCTATTACTTAGAAGATACCAGTCAAATCAAATATGTCTTTGGTTACCTGCTGGAATCAGGTATTTTTTGATAATTCTTAATTTGTCATCTTCTAATTCCAATCTTATTCTTACTGAAAAAAAAAATCAAACTCCACTAAATTCAGTGGAAGGAGCTGCTCCCAGCCATCAAGCATTCCAGCAGGCTGAAGGCAAAGCAGTGAGTCCCACTGCAAACATCATCCAGCATCTCAATCATGTACGTGACAAACTAAGACACACTTCTTGCCTTGAACAAAGACACAACCAAAGCAGTTCAGCAGCAGCACAGCTCCTCTGTAAGAGCACTGCTCAACGTGCGTGGATGAACCTTAACACTGAAAACCTATAAGCCTTAAAGCCAAACCAAAACCAGCCCAAGAGCCTGCATGTTCTAATCCATAAACTACAATCTTCTTTCTGGAATGGATGAACTCAACCAAAGTGCATGGTTGCTTGGTTTGGTTTTTTTTCTTTCACCATTCTTGTGCTCATTTTGGTGCATGTGAGGTAAAAATCTAAAGGATTTCAATACATATTTGTTTGATATTGTTTCCTCCATTTCGAGGATGTTAGTTTCCTCAAATCACCACCAGACTTCAAACTCCCTGTTGTACTGGAATTAAAACTAGTATTCCATTAACAAAGGTATTTTTTATAAACCTATTTACTGTGATTTCAACAAGACGACACCGCAGCGTAGTGACAGAACCCCGGTAACTCAGCGGGCACCACAAAGCATCTCGCTGGTTCTGTGCGACTGTGAAGGTCTGTAACCCACCACACCAGCTCCCCATACCTGCTGCTGAATCTGCCCCGCCTGCACCACGATCTGCTCCGTGGAGCTGTTGCTGTTGGCTGTGTACTGCTCCATGGCGCTTCAGCTCAACACGACCAAGGCACAGCGCAGTCTGTGTAACTGGCAAGAAAAGAGAAAAAAAACAGGTGATCATTGTCCCAAAGTTTGAAGGTTGTTGTGTCCTACAGCAGCTGAACGGCAAAGCACCTGCTGATGTGGAGGTGGTGCCTTGTGCACAGTCAGGCCATGGTTTAACTGCACACCTTCCTCTTTCATAATGTTGCCTTACTTTGGAACAGAAAACAAGGCCTGGGTGTAAAACTGACCCAGACATTGAGACTTAAAACCAAGTGAAACAGCCTCTCCTTCCCCAACTACACAACAGCCCCTCCTTATCTCTCTTCCTTATGCGTATTTTGAAAAGACAGCAGATCTCATTTCTTGGAGCCTTGCCTGGACACATGAAGAACACTGAAACAAAATACTTTGTTCCATTACCTCCTTCTCCCTCACATCATCCACAAAGGAATTCTTACTCTTACTTTTAATGAGATATCCGATTTACCCGTGATTGTTACACTGCTGAAAAGGCAGCACGTAACTTTCACAAGCAACAAAAAGCAAAACAGTTTTCAAGAAAAAAATGTATACAGTCTGTAGTCCCAATTTCCACTACCTGGAAGAGTTGCTGTGCTTACGGCTGCAACACTGCTCAACCTTCCTGCCCTTTCACTTTACAACACCCTTTCTGCTTCAGTGTCATTTATCCAGCAGCTCCCCTTATCCCTGTAAGCTAAAAAAACACACAATTATTTACCACATTTATCACCGATTTGTTTTAGCATTAACATCACTGTGCAGCAAGATGGGCCACAGGCAAGTCTTATTACCAGAGACTTGATACTCAGCCATAATAATGTAAGGACTGGGACTTTGGTTCAGAACCTTGACGCAGTGATACGAACCCTGGAGATCACAGCGATAACCTGAGTCACAGCACAGAAAGGCCTTGCGCTCTGATGCAATATCAGCTCCATCCGTGGCTCGTTTAGCAATAGCTTCTCACTGCCTTCCAGAAGAGAAGATGCTTTTCTTTTTTTTTTTCCCCTGCAGATGACGCTGCCTATCAAAGTTTCCATCTGAATTCTGCACAGTACATTTAATTTCTGCCCTCACTGCCTGCGGGCCTACTAGGAAGCAGCTCACTCTGCAGGGAAGCTGCTCAGTAACGAGCACAGGACACCACTGAGTTCTATTTGCAAGAAGATCTCAGGCTTTCTAACACCAAATCAGAAATTAAAGGATATGTGTATTTAAAAATGCTTTCTATCAGATCTCTTCTGTCAGGCCTGTCTCTATAACATAAGATAGCACCGCAGTTCTATTTCAGGTGCACAGGCTGCGGCCCTGAGCTGAAGTTTCCCACGTGCAGGATCACAGCCCTCCAAGGGATTACTTCATTTCCTTCATTGAAACAAAGCAGCACCAGTGTTACTGTATCAAAGCTGAATTTTAAAGCTCAGCCTTCGCCTTCAGTAGGTGCTCCTCCCACAGCTGATCTCACTTGTCAGCTCCCGCTCAGCAACTGCCTGCACAGAAAACGATTTAAGAGCTCAGTGTTAACGTGCATTCATGTACAGAATCATAGAATGGGCTGACTTGAAAAGGACCACGATGATAATCAAGTTTCAACTCCCTGCTATGTGCAGGGTCACCAACCACCAGACCAGGCTGCCCAGAGCCACATCCAGCCCGGCCCTGAATGCCTCCAGGTATGTGCACACATATACGAGGGTACTGAACCTACAGTAACTGCTCTCCCTCAGCCAATTACCTGCACCAAGAACCACTTAGCTCCAAACCACCATTTTAAAGCGTGCTGCACGCAGACGTTCAACCCGAGCCGGCAGCCCTCGGGGCATGGGCACAGCACGGAGCCCCAGGCGGGACGCACCGGCATCGCCCGGCCACGTGTCAGGGGAGCTCGGCGCTCCAGCAGCGGCTTCAGCGGGGCTCAAAGTGCAGCACAGCGGCGCGAGGCCGCCGCCATTTGGCGTCCAGGTGCGTTGCGGCCCCGCTGCCCGAGGCCGGCGGGGGGGCGGCGGCGGCGGGAGGAGGAGGGGGAGGTGGAGAGGAGGAGGGGCAGCGCTGCCCGCGGCCCATCTGTCAGCGGGGCGGCGGGGAGGCGGCAGGAGGTTCGCTCGCTCGCTCGCCCGCCCCGCTCCCCCCGCTCGAGGGCGGGGCGCTGCCGGCCGCCGTCCCCGCAGCCCCGTGCCGGCAGCGCCGCGTCCCCGCCGCGTTCGGGCCGGCGCAGCTTCCCCTCCATCGCTGCCGCCCTCGGCCTCGCGCTTCCCGGCGCGCCCACCGAAGCTCCTCTCCTCCCGCGGCCCGCTCGCCCCGGGCCCTCTCTTTTCTCGAGGCCGCCCCCCGCGCCCCGTCCCTTCGGCTCCCCGTCCCCTCGGCTCCCCCGGCTGCGGCCGGCCGGCCCCGGCCCTGCGATCGGCCTCCTGACTGGTCACTCGGCCCCGCCAATCCCGGCGCTGGGGCCGGCGCTCGGGGGCTCCATATTGGCTGCTCGCACTCACCGTGCCTCGCTCCCCCGGTTCGGGTCCCGCGCTGATTGGCTCCGCTACCGGCCCCCGAAACCCAATCAGCGCCTCTACTCGGCCGCCGCGCAAAATGGCGCCCAACCCCGAACAAAGACAGGAGAGTGGGCGGGCGCAGGCGGCGCGTGCGCACGGCGGCTCTCGCTCCGGATGTCCCCGCCTGCCTCGGCGCGGCCCTCGGCGCCAGGCACCGCCCACCCGCGGCCTGCCCGGCTGCAGCGACTGCGCCTGCGCCCTAGGGAGCGCGCGCGCCTCGCGGGGCCGCCGACGCCGGCGATGCGCACGCGCAGCTGCGGTTCCGCCCTCATCCCGTCACGTGTTCTGTAGGTCCCGCCTCTGAGCGTCTCGCGCACGCGCTTTCTCTGCGGTAGGTCGGCCTTCGGAATGTTCTCGGCGGGTACCATAGAGGCGGCGTTCCTCCAGCCCGCCTAGAGGGGCTGGCCAGCGAGCGGGTGGCGGCGGCGGCCATTTTCACGTGATGCTGGGAGTGCCGTAGTGGAGGTGACGGAGCGGGCCGAGCGATGTGGACTGTGCTGGGCAGGCTCGCTACACTCGCAGCGTTGCCGGTCCGGGCCCGGCAGTCCGTTCTTCACGTCGTGCCCGCGGGTGGGCTCTGCTAAGGGGTGTCCTGAAGCGGGCAGGGGTGGCCTGGAGGAGAACACGAGGCCTATGGGTTCTGGCTCGCCTTGCGCTGGCCCAGCTGTTGCTGTGGGACGGCCCCGCTCTGCTCAGGGCCGTTGCTGCCCTTTGTCGTTCTTTCCCCGTAGCGGGTGCTTTGTGCTCCAGAAGCGCGCTGGGTGAAGGCTCAGCCTTGCGCCCTCAGCCACGCTGCCCCGTTTCCTTCTGAGGTTGCTATTAACGCTGTTCTTCTTTCTGTCATCTTTCCAGCCACTGAAGCCTTCACCGCAGCCCGCCTTGCCATGGCCACCCACGGCCCGGAGCAGGGCGAGTGGGTGCGTAGGAAACGGGTTATGTGGGATGCTGTGCGGTGTGTTCCTGCCTGATAACAGCAGCCGATTGCACCATACAGCTTTGGGGACTTTATTGGCTGATAATAAAGCTACTTCTCACTACTTCTGTGCTTGTATCAGTGATGCAGTTATTTTGCATCAGCACAGAGCTCGGGTGTTAAGTGCCTGGGAGTGTGGAGCTCTGGTACTCGGTGTGCTGTAGATGTGCACTGGTCTAAAGGTACTCTGCGTTACGTATCTTACCTTTCTCAGTTTTGGTTGTGTAAAATGAACTGATGAGCTGGTGCGTGTTTCTCATATCTGATCCTGTAGAAAATATGTTTTTGTCATATTGACTTTATAATCTAAGTCTTAAGCTACCATATAGATATTGTTGTACAAGTTTGTGCAGAGTGTTCTGTTATCGTGGCCAGCACTCCAAGATTTCACACTTGTGCTTGCTTTTTAGATGAAGTGTGTTAAGGGAGACCTGTTTTCCTGCCCTCCGACGGACGCGTTGGCTCATTGCATCAGTGAGGACTGTCGCATGGGTGCAGGAATAGCTGTTCTTTTTAAGAAAAAGTTTGGAGGCGTCGAAGAACTGTTAGGTCAACGTGAGTAATTCTGCATGATCACAGGAATTTAAGGACTGACGGATTTCCAGCTTGAAGGTTGCTACCAGGGGTCCAGGGTCAATTGCATAGTAGACTGTAACTCTTCCTAAAATACCACCTTCTTCCCTTTAGAAAAGAAGACTGGGGAGGTGGCAGTTCTCCAACGAGATGACCGGTATATTTACTACCTGGTAAGAATAGAGAATGACTCAAGTGCTCCCCTGTAGCAAAGTTGTATTCGATATTACGATGACAGCTTTAATAATTTTGAGTACTTTCTCCTAAGTAAGTGAGATGTATTACTCAAGTCTTCCTACTGAGGAGAAGCCAAGCTCTCTTGTGTGTGTTTATTTATACTTATAAGTTCACAGCACTAGCTGCTAAATTATACTATTTCAAGCTATGAAACAGTTATTTTTCCAAGTCTCTTTCCCTTCACAGTGGTGACTCTGGGTGTAGCGACTCAGGGTGTAGAGGAGTGTTGGAGGGAGGAGGGGGGGAGTTTGCAGTGATAAGACAGATTTATAACTTTTTTTTACTTCTATATTCAGATTACGAAGAAGAAAGTTTCTCACAAACCAACATACGAGGACATGCGGAAGAGTTTAGAAGCCATGAAAACTCACTGTCTAAACAATGGAGTTACTGATATTTCCATGCCTAAGTAAGCAAATTAGTGCTGTGTAAATAACTCAGTGTTACTTGGGTAGGAGGATGGTTTTGAGACGTGATCTCCTACTCTGAGAGTTCAATATCATCTTGACTGTAACTCTTCTGATCCATTGTATAAATGAAGCTTGTGTTCCCCTGTGGGTTTAAGTGATAAAAGTACACTCAGGTTTGGTTATTTCTGTATTCTAACTGCATTATATTGACTTAGGGTGAGTTGGGTTACTGCCTGAAGGGCTTGTTGTTCACTGCATACTCCAAAAGAGCTCATTATAGTTATTTTGATGTTTTATTTTCCAGAATTGGGTGTGGACTGGACGGCCTGGATTGGGATAAAGTTTCGGCAATACTTGGGGAAGTGTTCGAAAACACAGATATAAAGATCACTGTTTATACTCTCTGAACAAAAGAGTCTCATTTCCCTGGCTTTCAACAGCGGCAACTTCTTAACTGAGGAGGGGGAAAACTGCATGCTGAGCACAGCTCACTCGTGTGTTGGTGGTGGCCGTGGCTCTAAAAGAAAATAAAAAGCTCAAAAGTCTCAGAGCAGCTGATTTGGGATGTAGTATTCAGGGAACCTGTGTTGAAAGCAGGGATATTGTGACTCTCAGGGAGTTCCCACTCTGTCCCAGCAAGCCACCAGATGTCACTCGTCCTCCACAGAGCACCTGCCTGCACTGGAGCTCCTACAGCTGGCAGTTCCTGTGCAGTGAAATTGGAGCTGTCTAATGCTTAGATATTTGTTGTTCTGGTTCATAATGATGACCTGTGGAGCCCTGTCTATTTTTATTTTCCAGGATTTGCAGTGTTCATATATAGCATACGTATTCTCTGCAGGATTAAAAAGTAGTTTTTGTATCTTTTGGACACGAGCACTTTTTAAAAATGGAATTGTACACAAGAAGAATTGTGCTGTCAGTGTGCATGTAACAGCTGTTCAGTACTCTGCTGTCAGGTCAGAGTCCTTGCAAATGTCTGTATGTGTGGTGGCTGTAGGCAGTGGGAGGAAAGCAGAGTTCTGGAAGGGAATGCTGGAGGCTTACAAAGACGCCTGCTGGTGCGTTCTATGCGTTCTGTGGATGTGATTGGTGTCACATGCAGCCCTCTGTTTTCTGAGTCCTTGCACATGAATGATTGACATGGTGTTAAAAATATATGGAAGCTAAGGTTTTTCTGTGTTTGTTTTGCTTTACTGTGTTTGTGGTTTGGCTGGTACGCGTTGTTTGGCGTCACCAAATGTGAAAATCAGTGCCAGCTTGTTGGGCCATTGCTGAACACTTGATTTTGGGAAGTTTGGTTCCGGTACTGAACAGCTAACATCAAGTATTTCCTTTGTGTTTGATTTTTACCCTCTGCCCTGTAATACCAAATCTTTCTACTTCTGTCACATTGAATGCTCACAGAAATGCCAGAAATATTGATTAAACCGAATAGATGGGACAGCTGAGAAGTTGATAGTGGGAAGAAAGGTTTTGAGTTGCTCCTTGCTACTTATTGAATGTATGGAGCCATTCCTGTTCTGACTTTATGGGTGAATCTGTATTATGTGTTTTCTTTGCTGGTGGAGATCTGCAGATTCTGTTTTGTGTCTTTAAGAACTGCACAGTGTTTTCCTTCCCATTTGACTCCTCTGCTGCTTGGTTTTGGTGGATAATTGCTGTAGCCAAATACAGAGCTGTGAGAAATAAACTTGAGCGAGACAAAGGAACTCGGAGTATTGAGCTGATCAAGGGTGAACATCAGGACTGTTCCTTCATTTAGCCCTTGGGCTTTTATCTGTTTTCTAAATCCAGTGGCAAAGAAATGAAAGCTGCAGCACCCAAAGGTGGCTCGTACTGCTGCTTGGGGCTTTTGTTTCTTTTCTTTTTTTTTCACTGGAAGGTAATACAGCATTTTTTGTGTGCTTGTGCATGTTTAGTGCCTTTCAAATTTGTGACAGTGCAGCAATCAAAATTTCACATCCAGCAGTTGGAAGAAGGAGGCCTTTCTGACTCAGTTTCCTAGTTAGTGTGCTGCTCTGTCGCCTCCATCTGTTCTGTGCCTTGTGTATGCAAAGTACAATCCCATGTTTTCTGTCTGTGCATCTCTGCGATTGTGCATTCTCCTGAAACTCCCTGTACTGCTAACTCTCCCTTCTGATCATGCTGTGCTCCAGATACGAATTTCATATCATGTGTGGGTGTCCCACAGCGTCTACCTGTCAGGTTAATTTGGGGCCCTCTTTGAAATAGAGAACAGATAACACTGCTTTTTTTCAGCAGGCTCCAATTTTATTTCGTTTGCTTAGCCCAGGTTTATATCACAGACATACTGAACAAGGGGAAAATTGTATCTGATGCATTCAAAATCAAGTATTTAGGGCTCCACCATAACTGTAGAATTAAGAAATTAACTGTAACTTAAATTGCAGGTACTGTTATTGAGGAGGACAGAGGAATAGAACTTTATTTATCTTTCTGATGTTGATGAAGCATGCTGTTTGTCAGTAAGTTTATCACATCGGCAGCTTTGTTCTGCAGTCTTTTATCTCCAAGTAATCCTGGTATGTGAGGCCTACGCTCATTCCTGTTGCTCCACTGCAGTGCATTTCATTCAGGGCTTTAACCACACAGCTCAGTGCCTGTTCCTGGCAGCAGTGACAGCACAGTTTTGTTTTAGGGGGAGTGGGCTGAGTGGAGAAGAACAACAAAACAAAGTACCATAAGATTCCAAACACTAAATATCTGTTGTACGCATATTTGTCATCCATCAGGGCCTAAAATTCCAGAAGCTGGCACTGCATCTGCTGGATTCAAAGCTCTGGGAGGCAGGGGTGTCCCAGTGTCCAAGTCAGTTGTGTCTCTGTGTGGATCTTTCCTGAGATGGGCCTGGAGGGAAGGGAGAGGAACATGTTAGAAGCTTCAAATGCTTTTGTGTTTTACTGCTTAAATAGGTGAGTCTTCTGCACCCCATAAAAAGGAGCATGCTGTCACAACTGGTTGCTTTTAGTGGTGTGTTGTTGTTTTGGTTTTTGTTCTGGCTGTGGGGGGAAGTCCATTTTTCTGTATGTTCTTTGGTTTCTTTCACATGTGTTTGAATATCATACATGCAGGGAATAGTGAGGTGTTCTTGTTCCATCTTGCGATCCTACCTTGTAATTCTTTTTCCCCTGGGAGGTGTTCACTGCGAGGGGAAAAATATCTCTAAGTCCCTTCAGCATCTGCTGTGAAGGAGACAATTGCGTCCATACTGCCTCTAAAGGGGAAGGTGCTGCCTAGGATAATATTTGGGTACTGCCAGGTGCAGCTGGGCACATAGGGAATAGTAAATGAAAATGATTGCATGCTATGTTTTTAACAACCTGAAGAAAAAGAGAAGTCTGGTAGTAATACAGGGAGCCAGGTGAACAAATAGAAGTCCTCACTCACGTGAGCTTCACTGCAGAATCTCAGCCAACTTCTCCTCGTAGTACTGGAAGTTCTCTTGAATGTCCTCCCATGGCACGAAAGCCTTTGCTTCCTCTCCTTCTTCCTGTTCCACAAAGTTCTGCCAGACGTACTCAAAGTCTTGAGGCTTCATGATCCTCAGCTTGCAGCCAGCAGACTTCATTTTCTTCAGGGCAGCCTGCATGTCCGGCTCCTCCCACATGAAGAGGCGTCCCACCATGATGGTCAGGCGCAGGTTCTTGTTCTTCCTCAGGGTCTCGCTGATCCGATCGGCGCAGGCCACGCAGGGGCTGGAGGAGACGTACCAGGTGATGTTGTAGCGGAGGCTCGATTCACACTTTGGCAAAATGGTGTTAAAGAAAGCGATTTCTGCATGGGAGGCTGCGTGCTCATCTTCCAGGTAACCCCGGGAAGTCGTCGACTCTTTGCCTTGGGTCTCTACAACATAACACAGGAAGGTTTTGTTCCTGCCTGAGCTGTATTCCACGTTCCTGAACTGGAACTTGAAAAATATGGCTGGGAGGCGTTCCCTGTGGGAAGTAGAGAGGAGAGAAGCATCTCAGGAAGCAGGTGATGAAAGGTTACAGCATTGGCTTAGATCCTGTGTGATCGTGGACCGGTCGCACCGTCCACCATGATTCTCTTTTGCTATCTGTTAAAAGGAGATCCCTGCCAAGAAAGGCTAAAAACGCATTAAACACCATTGGGTGATCAATTACTGTGTGGTGAGGCTTCCAGTTTTCAACACTTAATCTTTTTCGCTTTGATAAATGGCAGTACGGAGCTTTCCTGCTTGCTCCCTGTACACCTAACTGGAGTGTGTAGTACAAGCATTAGTGCTTGAAGAATGTTGGAAAGATGAAGGATACTGCTGACAATGTGCCCTGCGACCTGCGAGGGTGGGAGTGGTGGCTGCATGGAGTAGCCAAAGCAGAATAACAAAAAGCAGCACAACATTTTAGTGCTTAGATGCTAGTAATCTTCCAGAGTCTTGTACTCCTCTCATCTGAGCTTCAGGTGCACCTGTAACCTTGCTGTTCCCACTGAAGCTATAATCAATCTTTGTAAAACACTAAGTGTCTTATTCATCTCTTGTCTACAGTTACGTTATAATGTCAGATCTCTCCAGGGGGTGCAATGTGAAAAGGTCAGGACAGCTTCTCAAACTCCTAGAAATATTAATTGGGGAGAGCAGTGAGGCTGCAGGAGCAGCGACAGAATGTTGTTCTGCTGAGAGGAAAGAATCTGTGATGCAACGTGGCACAAGATATCTCCAGAGATGGTGGAAACAAATGGCATGGAAAAGAATGAATGGCCTCAAAATCAGTATGCTGTGCTCAGTGTGTAGGAAGTGAATCGCTGTCAGGCTGCTAGTGGGGAATCCTGGCCTGGGCCGTGCTGAGAATGTGGGATGGTTGCAATCCAGGAATAAGGACTGTTCTGTGAAGGGCTGGAATTTGATATATATAATCAGCAGGTGTCTTCCTATGGACTGTAATGGAAAAGGCCTCACTTTGAGGGTAGGACTGCATGAAATGCCCCAAGTAGCGTGATGCTCTGCTTGTCAGGTTGGAATGGGAACAGCTCAACAGAAAGCAGGGTGTAGCAAACAGAGTCCATCACGTCATACCTGGATGCAAGAGCTGCAGCATGGGCTGCAGGACTTCTGTGTGGAAAAGGATTGCAATTGCTGCTGTCTAAATACATAACAGAGTAAATTATAGCTGCTATCAAGCTTTAGCCACGTCACCCTAAATGTTTGAATACATTTTTCTGTCTCTGTTTAATTCCACTTAGAAACTTCCAGAAACTTCTCACTGCTACGTACATATCCACACTTGTCCTCACACAGCCAGAGGTTTCCCTGCTGCCAAAGTCCTGTGGTGTTTTTGGCTTTACAGAAAGCAGGAGCATAACAGCACTGTCCCTGCAGAACGTTTGCTGCTGCTCCAGCAGGTGAAGGCTCTGGTTGGTCCTGCAGTGCACATTTGCAGCGAAAGGCCTGGAGTTACAGCTCACACTTCTGGTGTGGGTTTCCCAACAGTGTGATTTTACAGATGAGTGACTTCCCTTGGAATAGCAGTGTGCTGCACAAGCCAAGTCGTGTGAGAGTTGATACGGTTAGGTTGGCACAGTGCTTTGTGCTCGGAGGAGAAGATTGTTATTGTTCAGAATGCAGTGAGATGGATGAGTCGAAACAACATCGTGTGTGGAACAGCAGCCACACCAGGAATGTTTGTTGGTGCTGTCGCTCAAAGAGTACCCTAATTCTTTTTGCATGTCATTGATTTATATAACAATGCATGGTTAGAGTGCAAGGCTGGCTTCAGAAGTTTTATTAGAAGCAGATTTTCTGCTGCTTTCTGAACTGTATTATTAAACGCTTACGTTATTCAGTGCTGTTTAGATGAGGTCTATCCAAGCTGGGATTTAATAGCAAAGCCTGTCTGGGGCCTTCTGTGTTAGCATTGTCTTAGCTGGAGGTGTGCTCATGAGGGATGGCCAGCAGTAGTGTGGATACAGGCTTTTGTTTTGGTTACTGAGCAAACAGATCATGCTGGTCTGCTGTGATTTGGTCTGTGGCTCTCTGGTTTGTGCACAAGTTCTAAACTACCTAGAAAAGCTTCTGGAGTCCTCTAAATTAAGGGAACAGAGGGAAAACATTAAGAAATGGAAGCTAAGGTTACCTGTTAGAGCTAGTCTCATTTTCTTTGTGTTATAAGACTCCTCTGGTGTCGCTGAACAGCATCATCAGGCTATTTCAGCAAAGCTCCTCTCATTCCACAAACTCCATTTGTTGTCTTCGAGCTAAGAAAAGTTTACATCCTTCTGAGAACAGCACTTCTGCTGCTTTCAGTCCTAGTAATAATAAACGACTCTTCAGATAACGATTTAATGATTCCTTAATTGAGGTTTTCTTTGGAAGCCCAGCCTGCTGAGTGCCACGAGCTGCCGACCGCCTCGTGTCGAAGGCAAGTTTGTGTGGGTGCAAGAAGCTGTTCTGAAGGAACGTCGTGTGTTCAGATGTGTCACATCGGAGTCGCAGGTGCGAGTTAATTCCTGATTTAACTCCCTTGACTGCAAAGTGGTGACATCAGAGATGAAATTGAGCATGTATGTTGTGATGAGCAGTTTGAACAGCAGTGATCTGTTCCAGGATGCGTTGACTCACTGTGTGTTTAATCAGACCTTCTAGACAGATCTGTGTGCTTATCATCCTGGCATCCATCTGAGATTATCTGGGATGTTCACCTCAATCTGTCCTGGCAGCACGGAATGTGCGTTGGCTTAATGAATAGGTTTCCAATAAAGAATGTAAACAAAGCTAAGGGCTTTTTCCAAGCCTAAGTAATTGGCTGAGAGCTTGGAAAACTTGATGGTTGATTCGGAGGCAACCAGGAGATTGTTTGCTAGTTAGCAAGAATCTCCTTAATCCCATGTAAACCAGAGGAGGGAGGGCACTTCAGCACAAGTGTGAATTGTAAACAGTCCTCAGGAGGCTCAGCTGCGTCCTTGCTGTGACTTCCCAGCAGCTGGGACTTGGGCAAGGTGTCTCTGGTCCCCTGAGCAACTGGGAAGTCCTACAGCAAGGGGTGCAGCAGTGAAAGAGCAGGAAGAGCACCCACGTGTGCCATAGGATTGCATGCGTGCTTGGATGCTGTCTGCTGCTTTCTCTCCCCTCTGAGTTACACCATGCTTGGCAGATGACCCGAGATGAAGCAAGGTATCGTGATTGTGTTGTTTGTTTGGATAGGTTTAAACACTCCACAAGTGACTGATAACCAAAATACATCCGTAAGAAAGCTTTGCCATGTGCTGTGAAAGCAAAGCCTACTTCTTTGGACGCTGAGGTCCAGCTTCGTGTCTGTTCCTGAGTAAATCGCCAAGTCTTGGCAAGCCTGTTTTCCCAGGATTGCATGGCAGTTGGTGTACAAACGTTAACATTATCCCTATTTCACCCTTTTTGGTTTTCTAAGATCAGGAAAGCAGAATGCCAACAGAATGTACCAAGATGAGTTCCGTTCTCCTATTTCTTACCCCAGACCCTGTATTGCTGTAGGTGCTAAATGCAAAAATGGTGTTGTCTGGCCTATAACTGTGAATTTATTAAAATAGACAAGTGCCAACTATTGTGGTGACTAGGCTGACAGCTGCTCTGCTTTCTTTCGTTTTGCAAATAGAGAAGCCATCTTCTCGCCATGTCCATCTCCAATAAGGGCACGGTGTTTAGGAGCTGCATGTGAGCTCTGTGTGTGTGGAAGGGGTGAGGGAAGGGGTGGGATCTGAAGTTTTTGCTGCTTTTTGCCAACTATTCCCAAATAAACACTTGTGCTCATGAATGATAGAAAGTCTGTAATGACCAGCTGTAACAGAAACCAAGGATTTATCACCTCCTGATAGAAGGAGCCTCATTTACGCTCTAGGTAATGTGTGAATAAATACATCCACTTAAATGTCATGAAAAACACACAGCAGGAGCTTACATTTATCCAGGGCTGTGTTGAGCCAAATGCTGACAAAAAGTGAGGGTGGGGGAAGTTAATGTTCTCAAACAGACTGATCAGTTTCCCAACATGTTTTGTGTATGCCAGGCTCTGCTATGAGCCTCAGCTTGAAAACTTGGCTGTGTGTCAGAAGATGCCCCTAATCCAAGGGCTGAAACTGAAGTTCTTGAATAGTAGGCAGTGTAATTGAATTTAAGTGCTTGCACAGTGGCAGTTGCTTTCTCATAACTTGCATAGCTGGCTTTATTGGCTGAAAAATTGTAAGTAATTGGGAAATCTGAGCAGTGATGAGAGCAGGTGGAGGCACAGCCTGCAGTGACAGGGTCCTTCCCAGAACAAGAGCAAAAATTGCTGGATTTTCCTGCACATCTTTCTGGGTCCTCTGGGATTTCTGCTTCGCTTCCTCATCCTCACCTTTAGCACCCAGTATATCAGTCATAAACTAATAATCAGGGGATAGCGGGCCATGAGCGATGCGGGAATTCTCCAGATAGCTTTAAACAGTTTCCAAATAGTATCGTAATGAGCACAGCATGAATACCCCTAGTGACAGCTCTGTGCTCCCTCACCAAAGAGCTGAGTCCTTCAGGGATTTCAGCTCTTGTCTTGCTTGGTATCAACATACAGAAAGAAAACGCGCTGCTCCCAGCTTCGTGTACGCAGATAGCAGAGCATGAATTTAAACTCATTCCCAGAAAAGCTTTACCCAAGGTAATCCAATCGATGATTTTCAGAGCCTATGCATTCATCCCTGCTTAACCCAGCTGTGTGAGATGAAACCTCATGCGTGGCTTTCAGCAGTGCCAACCCAACACAGTTTGCAGCATCTCTTACTGGTGGCCACGTCCCAGGCAGCAGCCTTCCTAGTGGGGCTCTGCAGTCTGCTCTGAGGTTTGCATTGCAGCAGCTGGAAGAAATCACGGGTTTGGTTTATGCACTGGGAGCCTTGGTGACTTCAGGGGAGACCAGAGGGAAGAACTACAGGGGGCATCTTTACACCAGAGCTCTGACCAATTCTGAGTGCTTAGAGAGAACAGATTACACTTTTTTAGCGGTTGTCAGCAATGTCTGACAAGAGTTCAGCTTCCTAGCAGATCTGTTGTATCTCCTCTTTCAAGGGCCAGGCTCTCTGCAACAAAAGAAGCTGCCTGCTGCTTTGCTGGCTTGAAAGCCACCTCTTGTTTTGGTGCCCATCCATGAGCAGGACTTCTCCAAGTGCCCAATTCCAGATGTGAGCGTGGAGCTCTTGGAAGATCTGTCCCCTAGGTACGTAAAGCAAATCAGCCATAGCAGGGCTATTTTTCCTAACGCACAGATAGAGAAACTTTCAGACAAGAGCCATTGATTACGCCAAGAAATCGATCTCTGCTCACCAAGGGCCGTGCCTCCCATCGGGCAGCGATCCCGGTGCACTCAGCAGGACTCCATGCAATGCAAAAGACTGCTGAATTCTAGGGAAGCAGCCCTACTTGTATAAAAACAAATAGATTTGACTGCCTGCCTGCCCGGGTTGAGTCTGTGCTCCAAAACACGTCGAAACTTAACAAAATGCCGCGGCAATGAAAGCCAGACTTAAAGCCTTTAAGAACACCAAGAAGCGCGCGACTTCAGATGCTGCCTTTAGTTACCCGACATCAGAGCTGAGGCAGAAACCTGTGAAGGTGCCCATGTCAGTCTCCTGCACCCCTGCCTGGTGAACCCCCTTACCCTGTCACGATCTCAAACGGAGGCAGGTCTTCCCTCTTCACTTTCTTCTTCTTTTTCCCCTCGCCCTCCTCTGCGTTGTCGGGTTCACCATTCTGGGTGTTGCTGGGCTCCTCCTGCTTTTCTGCCATCTTCTCGGCTGTAGGGGCAGTCAGTTACAGCCACCGGGAAAAAGAGCAATTTCAGAGAGCTCGGGGAGTGCAGGGGGCAGGGGAAAAACAGAGCTGGGAGTCCCTGCGCTGGAGACAGTTGTCGGGGGCTAAATATGGAACAAAGCAGCGATAGAGGCTGGTTGGGGTTGGGTGTCCCAGGCTCTCAGCTTTCCTTCCCCAGCTTTTGCTACGTCTTTTTAACGATCCCCAGTGCTCCTTTTTAATTTAAAATTAAGTGACGACTTGGTGGTGGGCGGGACAAGAGATGGGTGGAAAATCCTGGAAGCGTAAGGATCTGTTTATCCATGACTGTGACGGATTGCTGGCAAGGTGCAGAGCTGGCAGGTTCTCCATTCACCTTCCATTTGCCAGTTTATTATTTTGCTGACCTTGAAGGACCACTGTTTTGGCTCAGAGGGGAGAGTGGCAACCCCCTTTGGTTTGCTGGAAAATCCCCACTGTTGTGGATTTGGCCCTGAGAGCCACCTGGAGCACCCAGAGCAAGAGATTGCCTTTCCTTCCCCCTGCTCTTCCAGGAGAATGAAATCCCAAATTGGAGCTTGTTGAAGTTAGTGTTACAGATGGTGTCGGTGGGAATTGAAGCCAGAAGTTTGTTCCAGATGTTGTGAAGTCAGGCTGATAATTCACAGTGGGTATCTGAGGTGCAGGACAGTTCCAATTCCACGTGCTGAGCACATTGTTCTCTAATTTTCTCTTCTTTGGCTGAATATTTAAAAAATGCTTAGCGCTCTAAGAGTGATAACACTGCTAGATAAGAGTACGGATTTTGAAAGTCTGTTGCCTTAGAGATTCTTGCAGGGTTCCTCTGTTTCTTTCCCCTTGCTTCTGCAGGGGATGCAGATGTCGGATGAGTGATTGCAAGGAGCCAAAGAATCAGACAGACTGTGAGCCGTGATGATAAACGTGTGTGCAGACCTGGAGGTGAGGCAGCACTTAGTGGGACTGGTGTGAGCTGCGTGCCAAGGACAGAGCACTTGGAGGCATTCTGGTGAAGTGCTTATTGTGATTGCTCTGAACTATTGTGGGTGTGGAACCCGTCCTTCATAAAAGAAATGAGAAGGACTACAGAGATTTTATTGACACAAGCTTTGGGTGTTTGCTTTGCTCAGCAGTGTGTCAAGCAGATCTCTCAAAGAGGCTGCGGTGGCTTGGAAGGATACTCAGGGTTTGTCTGGGCTTCCCGTGAGCTGTGAAAAGGGGGTTGTATGTTCAGTTTGGGAGGATTCTCTTCAGAAGTGCAGAATGATGTGAAATTCTTCTCACGGTTTAATCAAAGTTTGTATCAATCCCATGTGAGCCAAGCCTGGTGAAAACCTGAGCATGCCTTTCTCAGGGAAACTTTTCTGTGACATGACTTGGGGTGAATGGGAGGTGTGTAGTGATGCAGAACTCAAGTTTTAGCCAAAGCACATTGGAAATCAAAGCTCCAGCATCCTGGGTTCTGCACCCAGGAGCCCATTGTCATGATTTAGATGAAGATGAAATGTTGTGCTGTATCTGATCGAACGTTCAGGCTACGTTAGCGGGAAACAGCTTTGAGGAGGACAGGCTGCTCTGTGTAGGAATCAGAGATGTGAGCACCTGCTTTCATCTCACACCCGTGGTTCCCCCATAGCCAGCTCTCCTACAGCTTTAGAGGCTGTGCACCACCACGAAGGGATGAACTTGTTCTGCTGGGCAGATAGTTTGCCTTCTGGCTGCTTTATCGAGCCCCTTGCTAGCTTGGCTTTCTGCACTGTGAGAATCACAATACCTTTTGTAGTTCTTCATTAATAGCATCACTGGAATGTGTTCTGGGGACAGGGCACACCACCCACCCCTTCACTCCTTCTCTGTTTGCTAGTGATGAGAAAGTTGTTTATGTGATGGCTGGCATGGAGTTTTGTGACAGCAGTGCAGTGAAGGATTTGAGACGTTCCAAGACATCCTATCCGTGGAACATATATTTTCCTGGTGCAAAATTTTATTTATTTTTAAGCTGGAAATACTTTCCTGGAGAGCAAGTGTAGTGTTTTTCCTCTGCCTGGTAACTACGCTCAGATTCCAGCTCCCCTGTCCAGTTACTCTCACCTCTGACATTTTGGGAGTGTTTTTGGGGATGGGGATCCTCTCTTAATGACTGACAGCTTGTCTCTGTCTTCCCTCTGTATGTTAAACGCACCCTTCTTCACTCTGACCCACTTTTCTTTTTTTATTTCTGGAAGCTCTTGACTGTTAAGGTCCCATCTTTCCTGCAGCCTTAGCTTTCACTGGCCTGGCCCCTCCGCAGAGCTCAGGGCAGAGCTCCTATCTAATCTCTGGAATGTGGCACCGAGACTCTACCTCTATCCAGCCCTTCCCCAGCTGCTTCACAGCTCCATCTAGGGCAGTGCACTAAATAGTCACGATCCACCCCCCTGCAGAGTCTGCCTGTGCCAAAAATATAAAGGGACACCACCGAGTTGCTGTCGAGCTGACATTTTGCATTAGAGCCTTAGGAATGAAAGCTTTGATCGGTTGTATTCGGTTGTTTTTAAATGACCCTAATTCCCCTGAAGTTGTGCGTGTGTTCAGGAGCATCCATGCATGGAGCTGATGGCTGGAGCCACTGATGGAATTCTTTCCCCATCAGACGTTATGGAACAGGAGTGCTGGGGGTCCGGGTTGCAGCCATCCTCACGCCAGGACCTCCCAGCAGCACTCAGCTCAAATCACTGCGCTTCCCAACAGGCGTTGTTACCCAGGCTTCCTTCACCCTTCCTCTCCTCACTGATTCCATGCTTTATTTTGTTGCCTGTGAAGTTCATGCTGCTCTGAGAAACCCTGCGCAGCAGAACGCCTATGTGGCCGCAAAGCGCAGGAGGTCTGCATGCACCTCAAAGCTCACAGGCAGGCTGAGAGCAGAGGCCAAATCCTGCTCACCGCCAGCAGAACCCTGTGCCTCTCCCTGCTGGATGCAGCCGGTAGGGGAGGGCTGTTCCCTCTTCAGTAAATCTTCAGCAGCTGCACTTCACTTGTGGGGAAAGCTCCCGCGGAGGGACCCGACCCTGCAGAACTGGATGGGCCCTTCAGCTGCTTCCCTCTCAGCGGCACAAACCCAGGCTGTGGTTTCCTGCCTCAGCCCATTCTCCATCCTGTGAAAGATGTGTCCTACAACATCTGGCAGCCCGTCTCCCTGTGCTTCCCCGTGTTGGGGCATCGAGGCCAGAATGCCTGATCAGAGCTGTGAATGAAGAGGAGGAATAGACCTCAAAGTCACCAACCCTGCAGTAGGACTTGAAGAGCTGGGAAAGCTGCCGGCAGGGGACAGCCAGCAAGGGAAGGCTGAGCTCTGTTCTGGAGGCTGCACTCTGGCTTGGCTCATGTCTCAGGTATTAAGATCTGATCATGGGTCCCTGCAAATACAGAGCACTTTTCCCACTGATTTTAGAGACGTGGGAACAATCTGATGGTTTTTTTTTTCCCCTTTCTCATCTTGAATGAGTATCTGACAAGGAGAGTATTGTAATCCCTTGACCTGTCTGCCCAGCAGGTTATCTGCTTGTCCTCTTAATTGCAGCCCGAGCAGCTTTACTGCTGTTGAAATGGCTGCTCTGTGCTGATCACAAAGGGGCAGTGGAAGAGACCTGGCAGTAGAAGTCCCTGCCAGGAAAAGGAGGCTTTTATTGCATTCTTGGGCTGGAGGAACATTTCTGGGTAGATGTGAGAGTGAAATAAGACACTGGCTGTGTGAGTCATGGCTGAGATGTGCTCTCTATTCCAAAGGGACAGCTGGTGGCAGTAACAAAACATCTCCCTAGATACATTGTCTGGCAGCCATCCCCCTCCTGCTTTTTCCGGCTGTAACTACCGTTACGTGATAAATAAATAAACACTCACTGACAGTGATGTGCGGAGGCAGCTTTCCTTCCTTCAGCCCCTGGAGGCCCTCACCTGTCCCTTTCATTGCACTGCAGGACTGCACCGCCAAGTTTTAAGAGAAGGGGTAGGAAAACACAGATGTCAGCTGCTGCAGAATCCCACAAGGTTCAACCTGAGCAGTGCCCCTCTGGGCAGTGCTGTGAAAAGAGCAATACCTCAGCTGAAACGAGCCGTGGTGCAAGCAGAGAGAAGGGATGCTCTCACCTCCTCGCCCGCTTTCTCTTCACATCTGAACCCTGGACGTCCCTGGCCTACGATCCCCAGCACACACAGCCATTACTGCTCTCCTGTAGAGCTGAGAAGGAGTGTTACTGGGCAGGCGCTGCTGGCTGCCCAATTAACTCAAAGTCCAACTGGAAGTTAATGCCAACTCCAGGCAGCACAACCTCCTTGCTGCTGGGTGCAGTTTTCCTGGGAGCAGCCGCAGCCGTGGCTGCTCAGAGCCCGGGGAATTGATGCTCTGCTCCTCCCAGTGCTAACGAGAGGCTGTGGGAGGGCTGCTGGCCTGTCATCAGCTCACTGAAGTTTACACACAGCAGCAAATTCTTTCTAACATTTCACTCTCTATTTTAACGTAGCTCCAGACACCAGCAAGTCAATTTAAGTTCCTCCCTGCTGAAGTCAGAGTGTTTTCTGGAACAGCTAGTAAATTATTGAATGAGGAAGGGTTGGAGAAAGGGGCTGGATGGAAAGGCGCAGCGAGATTTTATTTATGGCCAAATACTGTGTATCCAGCAGGCAGAGGATGTGCCCTGTGGGCTCAGATCAAGTGTACAATTGGTTTCGTATTGAAAATGTCTTTCTGGACAGACTGGCTGAAGCCTGGAGAGAGGGGATCATCCCTGGACACGGAGATCTGAGAGGTGGCTCTTCTCTAAATGCCACGACCCTGTGAAAACTGCCACGAATGCATGGCCTTTGTCTGAGTCACTGCTTGAGCCATGTAGACCACGACATGTCCTGCGGTGTGCTATGAATGTTCCCTGACACTGGGGTGGGATATGGTATCCGTTCCATAGGCTAATTTAAGGGGCTGGACGAGCACCTTGCATAGCCACCAAGGCGATATGGATCCAGCCTGCCGGCTGCCTTGGTTTGTTTTGGCTCAGGCAAAATTCCTCCATGCTCCTTGCAGATGGGCTGGGGAAAAAAAGCCCCTCGGACAGAGAATGGCAGAGAGGAGGGCCCTGAGCTCACCGCCATGGCACCTCCAGTGAAATCCCCTCTTAGAGGCAAAATTTCACAAGTTTTGGCAGGTCAGGCTCCAAGGCACGGTTTGGATTTCTTGCATCTTTCTGGGTTCTCTTTC